TGAAGGTAATGTGCATCCCATAACATGGCACGTACGGGTATGTCTCGTTTACCATTAATTCGCTTTAGCAATAAAAATTGTTGACGTCCTTTGTCACTTGATATGAGATGGCATCACACGTCTCTTGGGTCAGCAGGGTGACTGCCTGGCTTAAATGTGTCATGTTGCCCAGAGGTTGGTTTGAGTGTAGGAGGAACTATTTGTTGTATGTTCTGTTACAATTTAAGATGTGTTACATATCAATTTTATTGTTTATCAGCAATTTTTATTAATTTTTAACGTGCAATACAATTGTTCGAATTAGGCTCACCCTGTGCTCTTTAAACTACATTGTTCATTTAGAATTTTTGGTGTTAGCAAATTCGTTGTTTAATGTCGAAAATGTTTACAACGAACTCATCTAAGGTGAATGACTACTGTACACTACTGTACTTGGTGTTTGCCCTCCGTGCTTTGCTGCTATCCCTCATTTAGTGATAATTTTGCTGAACATTAAGTTTATCAGGAACTTACCAACCCCATTGTTAAGTGAGGGAGACCTGTAATAATGATACAGTTGTTTACTTATATATGTACACGCTCTCTTCCTCTTCGACTTACAACCACCCGGACATACGACCGCCTCGGTTGTACCAAATTTTTTTAAATTTACGTATTTTCGAGTCCCACGGGTAGTGATTGCGCTGTGTACTGACAAAAATTTTTTTTGTAATCCCCTTTAAACTGGCTGGCAAGGTTGAAAGTGAGAGCTTTGTGGTGCTGAGAAGAAAAAGAGACACCCATTTTAGGTTTTCTATGTATTATTTTCGTATTTTTAACTTACGACCTGGATTTGGGTCCCTAACCCTGTCGTAAGTCGAGAATTGGCTGCGTATATATATATATATATATATATATATATATATATATATATATATATATATATATATATATATATATATATATATATATATATATATATAATTTTTTTTTTATGGGGATTAACCCACCCGGGCACAGGTCACTGTCCCACATCAGGGCCTGGGGGTGGGGGGAATATAATAATTATATTAATAATAGTAATAAATATAAAATTATTAAATAAAAATATATATTCATAATAATAATAAAGGACAATAAATAAGTACAAAAATTTAAAAAGATGATAGTGAGAAACAATATATGTATGTTGTCTTGTTAATAGTAAGAGAAACAATTGAGACCCTGCAATTGTGTGTAAATGAGGCAGAAAGTCAGATCATCAACCTGGGACTTGGTCTCACATGACAGCAGGGTCTACCATTAGACAACACATTATGCTTCCAATATCTTCCCAGTACCTCCCTGTTTGATAGCTACCTACGACCTTGATCTGGGTAATACTTGTGTTAATGTTATTAATCTTATACAAAACTAGGTATAGTAACAGCTGCCACGTGTTCTCTGTCTCAGTCCCCTTGGCTGAAGAGAGGTGGCACTGTTGCTGACCATATGTGTGGCACTCGATGAACTCTTGTGTGGTCGTGCAGCCAAGAGTGAATATTGTTCCTCGTCTATTTTGGAATGTATATTTATGGCCAGTTCTTAACCCCTCCGCCCTCATGTCCAGACCTGCGAGGGTTTGTTTTACTTAAGAGGGCAGTTCAACTCGGCATGCACGATACCGTATATTGCTACTGTGTTTCGTGAACTGGTGGAGATGGTAAGAGTTCACTTTGTATGTTGGGTATTGCAGGTTGAGGATAAGAACAAGTGTGTGTGTGTGTGTGTTTGTGTTTTACTCAGTGTTGATCATCTCCTGAGGTGTGTTCATATGCTTTGGGGTGCACGTTAGAAGGTTGAGTGTGTGTATAGAAGTCAATGTGTGATAATATTCTGTTTCATGCTGTGTGTTAAGTCAGGTTATTTGGGAGAGAACTGCAGAAATATTAATTGTTGAACCTAACCCATAAGTGTGGCATCTGATAAGATATTAATGAGCCATGAGTGGCAATTCAAAAAGCAAGTACTGTACATACCATATTTTTTCTTATAATGTTGAAAGTTTGCGGAAATTTGATAAAAAGTTGTGGAAGCGATACAAATTTGCGTTGGCTCGTCGATCATTTGTGATGAATATTATTTTTTTATTATATATTTTTATTAGAGCCACATGATTGTGAAATTCTGGTCCTCCGTAAACTTTTTAACCTCGGGGAAACTCACCAAATTTGGCAAGTGTGTGGTATATGACATGTAGCTGGATGTTTGGTGGTGATGTAATTGATGCAATATAACAAGGAATATATTTCATAAACATGTTAGGTTGAGAGCTGTGATGTGAGGATTGTGGCAGTTGCTGTAACTTACTTCCATCAGTTGTCAGTTTTGTGTTAGATTGGATCATTAAAATCGTGACTACAGTGTGCTCGCTCGGTTAAGTAATACGAGTTTCGCAAATGTCAAAAGATGTTCACTTGTATAGAAAACTTACTTATTGGCTTTTATTTGTTAACTTAGCTGATGAGTGAACAAAAATGAATAGTTATGCGAGTGTGATCTTAAAAGTTCTTTTGGTAATTAAAAATTGCTTAATACTGTGTGGTGGCACATGGCGTGGGTGGTCATGTTATCTCCCCCTCCCTTTTTTTTTTTATTCACCAATTATCAGCTTACTGGCCATTTGGGCAGTTGGAGGAAACTGGGGAACCTGTGAGGGTCACACTGGATAACACTCTTCTCGGGGCTGAGGCTCAATCCCTTGACATATTGGTGAGAGTTACTGGATTGGTATGAAGGAAAGTAGAAATAGTACCTCACGTCATAGCTGTGTGGGAAGAGATGTACAGTACAGGAAGTTTGGGGGCTGAAGATGTGTATTTGACTGAACTGACAGTATTAAAGGCTCTTGTTTGGCTAAAAAGACTGTTGAGCCTACATTTGTGTGCTGTTTCCCTTGACAGTATTTCCAGGGAGTTGTCATCAGCTTGAGCAGCTACGTCAACACATTACTGTGGTCGAACAACTGAGCAGCTACGTCAACACATTACTGTGGTCGAACAACTGAGCAGCTATGTCAACACATTACTGTGGTCGAACAACTGAGCAGCTACGTCAACACACATTACTGTGGTCGAACAACTGAGCAGCTATGTCAACACATTACTGTGGTCGAACAACTGAGCAGCCGTCCAATTATGTGGTCGTAACGAGTAATACGCCAACACATTACTGTGGTCGAACAACTGAGCAGCTACGCCAACACATTACTGTGGTCGAACAACTGAGCAGCTACGCCAACACATTACTGTGGTTCCAATAAACTGAGCAGCACCGAACACATTACTGTGGTCAACTGAGCAGCCACGCAACACATTACTGTGGTCGCAATCAGAGTAGACACAACACATTACTGTGGTCGAACAACTGAGCAGCTACGCCAACACATTACTGTGGTCGAACAACTGAGCAGCTACGCCACCACACATACTGTGTCACAACTGACAGCATGCTAACACACACATTGTGGTCGAACAACTGAGCAGCAGGTTAACACACATTACTGTGGTCGAACAACTGAGCAGCTACGCCAAATTACTGTGGTCGAACAACTGAGCAGCTCGCCACACTTACGTGGTCAACAACTGGGTGCGCCAACACACATTACTGTGGTCGAACAACTGAGCAGCTACGCCAACACATTACTGTGGTCAACAACTGAGCAGCTATGTCAACACATTACTGTGGTCGAACAACTGAGCAGCTTCACAACACATTACTGTGGTCGAACAACTCAGCAGCTACGCCAACACATTACTGTGGTCGGAACAACTGAGCAGCTACGCCAACACATTACTGTGGTCGAACAACTGAGCAGCTCCGCCAACACACATTACTGTGGTCGACAACTGAGCAGCTACGCCAACACATTACTGTGGTCGAACAACTGAGCAGCTACGTCAACATTAGTGATCGAACAACTGAGCAGCTACGCCAACACACACTGTGGTCACCAACAACTGAGCAGCGTTAACACAATACTACTGTGGTTTAACAACTGAGCAGCTAGCCAACACATTACTGTGGTCGAACAACGTGGAGCTACGCCAACACATTACTGGGTCAACAACTGAGCAGCTACGCCAACACATTACTGTGGTAGAACAACTGAGCAGCTAAACACATTACTGTGGTGAACAACTGAGCAGCTACGCCAACACATTACTGTGGTCGAACAACTGAGCAGCTACGCCAACACATTACTGTGGTTGAACAACTGAGCAGCTCGCCAACACATTACTGTGTCGTAAAAACTGAGCGCTATGTCAACACATTACTGTGGTCGAACAACTGAGCAGCTACGCCAACACATTACTGTGGTCGAACAACTGAGCAGCTACCAACACATTACTGTGGTCGAACAACTGAGCAGCTACGCTAACACATTACTGTGGTCGAACAACTGAGCAGCTACGCCAACACATTACTGTGGTCGAACAACTGAGCAGCTACGCTAACACACATTACTGTGGTCAAACAACTGAGCAGCTATGTCAACACATTACTGTGGTCCACAACTGAGCAGCTACGGCCAACACATTACTGTGGTCGAACAACTGAGCAGCTACACACATTACTGTGGTCGAACAACTGAGCAGCTACGTCAACACATTACTGTGGTCACTTGGATTTCAGAAATGAGACAAATTGTCTGTGATTATTTCTCTAACTTTGTCATTTATTTTATCTTCTGTATTGTTTGCAAGATTTAAATGGCAGGCAGGTACAGGTGTTGTGTTTTTACTCAAGAAAGGATTAATTTGGGTGTGATACTGTGAAGGGTTTTGTTTGGGAAAGTCTTCTTCCACATTTTCCTCGGTACAGTATTCTCTTTGGGTACAAAGGTGAACGCCTGCCAACTTCCTGTATATATACATCTATTAAAAGGTGTTATAATTTCCAAATGTACGTACTGTTGCTTTTGCTTCAAATGTAAAAAAAAAGTTATTCAACTCTGAATAATAAAGGGATTTGTGTTTCAGGTTGCAATGATGGACAAGTACTCTTCCAAAGATTTTACTATGCAAAGTCAATGGTGAGGTACCCCATGGAGACCACTGCCATGGCCTGCATCGCTCTGGCCTCCAAGATTGAAGAAGCCCCTCGCAAGATCAGGGATGTTATTAATGTCTTCAATCATGTCAGACAAGTAAAAATGGAAAGTAAGTATTTATTTTTATAGTTATGCTGAAATTGTTTGTACGAATATTACTGTAAAATGTAAATGAGGTTTTGTGTACAATACAAGTACGTACTGTTGTGATGGTGAATGTTGGTTCAAGTATAAGTCAGTATGGCTTGGTTGTATTGTGTGGTCTAGAAGGTTCCTGCTTAACCTTAACCAATACAGTACTGGAAATAAGCAGTGGAAGTCTCTTGACTTATTTCTGGTACAGTAGTAGGAAGAATTATGGGAACATTTTACTATAAATCTAGGAGCCACTAACATTGATATGATTACAGGACCATACAACCTGTGATTCTAGACAGCAACTACATAGCCCTCAAGAACCAGGTGATCAAAGCCACGACTTCTAAAAGAGTTGGGGTTCTGCTGCCACGTGAAGCACCCACACAAGGTGAGCGTCAACTTCCATTCACCCAACCACGTACATTTGCCCACCCAAGCTATGTGCTTCATCCTTATAATACATATACTGTATGTGATAGTCTTTCTCAGATGTTTATATTAGTTTCAGGAAATTGGCTATGTGTCCTGTTTATCAAAAAAAATTGTAAATATTAAGGAAATAGCTTTTATGATTTGATAAATACTACAGGAAGGCCCGTGTGAACTATTGATTGCATTAAAGAACAAGAGTGAAAGGATGAATGGTTGTTTTTCTGTCTCTTTTTACATTTATTGATGTTGGAAAAAAAACACTGATTAAAAAGAGTTGATAAAACAGTGTGAGAGGTACAGTACTGAAAGTACTTGGAGTGAGTGATGAATTTTGCCTATGTTCAGTATCATCATGGAGAAGGACTCAAGTTTAATCAGTAAGAGTACAGAACAGGAGGTGAGACTGTGGTGGGCAGCTCAGAATAATATATAAATATTGGTGAAAGAGTTAGGAAGAGTTACTAATAGAAGAAAAAACAATAGATGTTGTAAATCAAAAGTGAGTTAAGAGACAGGAAGTGTAGCAATACTTGGTGGTTATGAGAGGAGTGTTTCAGATATCCCCAAAGTAGTTGGGTCAGTATATAGGAACAGTGGGAAGGAAATAATAGTTACTTTGACAATTGGAGAGAGAGAAAGATGGGTAAAATTGAGGAAAGTAGAGGAGCGATGTAGAGAAATTCTTGCCGTGAATCAGAAGCGGAGGATGTGTAATTCAACAGCTGACCAGGATTCGTCAAGGTATTGAGAGAAGGGAAGTGAAGGAGGAGCAATAGATGGAAGGAAGAAAGTGGCTACTGTACTAATAGTGAGGAGGAAGGACATGCAGGAGTTATAAAGAGAGGTGGAGGAGGAAGGACATACAGGAGTTATAAAGAGAGTGTGAGGAGGAAGGACATGCAGGAGTTATAAAGAGGAGGAGGAAGGACAAGGAGGAGTTATAGAGAGTGAGGAGGAAGAAGGAGGGTTATAAAGAGAGTGGGAGGAAGGGGAGTTGAGGGGAGGAGGACAGGGTAAGGAGTGGGGACATACAGGAGTTATAAAGAGAGGAGAGAAGGACATACAGGATTAGTAGAGAGATTGATTGTGGCTGCAAGAATGAGAGAAAAGTGTTTGTCTGATGCCTGCAGCTTACTGGGAAGGTTTTGCCTGCCAGACTCGTCAGTAAAATTCACTGTCTATAAATTAGTAATGGTATTGGAAATACAAATTATTTATAGCTTGGATGGAGCAAATAGTGGAAAAGCTTGTGCCAAACCCTTTTTTTCCTCCATATTATTGAAGGAAAAAATGTATCATAGCTAATGAAGCTGTCTGCAGAATAACTGCTTCTTCACCTCAGTGAGTGGAATAATTCATTACTTGTTGCCGTGTCTCTTTTATTTATTTTTACATGATGAAATGTCTCAGATTATCTATCCTTATCACTCAGTTAAGCTTGACAGACTTTTAATTCTTGTAAAAATAATCAGATATATTATACTGTATGAATGACATGTATAAATTTATTCCTTATGATAACCATTATATATTTTGTGACACATTTTGTCTTTTGATCATATACATGTACCTGCGTCTGCTGGAGGCGGATGACAACCGCCGGCTGGCCCAGTCTTCATGGTGAGTGTCAAAGGTTTCAGTATTACTGGCAGCTCCATCTTACTTCTCACACCTTCCCCTGTATGGCTGACCATCCTTACATCTCACTTGTACATTTTTTTTTTTTATAATTTGCTTTGTATCTAACCTATTGTTGTTCATTCCTCTTCATTGTTGTTTTATTTATACTTCTTTATTTATGGGCATTAAAATTTAGTTCTGTATTATTCCCCCCCCATTATGTCACCAATCTGGTAGCTTCCCTTCAGAACAAGTCCTAACACTGTGGCTTGAGTAATTCTGTATGTAGATATGTAGTTGTTTTCTCCTTTTATGTAATACTGTACAGTACTGGATGGAGCTACCAGTATATCTCTTCTTTTGTTTTCCAGTGGTTTACATAAGGTGAAGATAGTGCACAAGTCTTACCTGAAAACTGCTTAATAATACAGTACTAATACTTATCTGGAAGTAACGTTTCATAATAATTGTCGGTGATTTTACGGCCTCGTCAGCGAATTATCAGATACCAGACTCGTTAGGTCATTGTAAGAGACGAGTGTGTCCGGGGATTTGGTCTGTACTCATTTAATGTTCTTCCATGAAGTTGGTTTAATTTAGAGAGTGTAAATAGGTTGTACTATCTTCACCTGACTGACCGACTGACTGACTGACCGACCGACTAACTGAGTGTCCTGTTCTTGGCTTCACTGTACTTGATCATCACTGACAGACATGGTCCCACCCCACCATACAACAACAAATTCATGTGTATTTTTGCCAGTTATGGATAAAATATTGGCTCTGCACCCAAGTTTATACATTAAAAGTTGTTTTGAAAGCTGTATTGTAGACTTGCCTCATCTTATGACAGCTGTGACTCTGGATAATAGACAACCAAATTCTTATATTTTTATATGAAATGTCCACTGCATCATAGTTATTTTTCTTAACAAACTTTAAAGGGGAAACAATGTCAAGAACCTGCCATTGAGTCTTCATGTCCTGAGTTGAGACAGTTACTATAATACAGGGTTTTCAAAACTTGTATAGTACAGTACTTATTCCACTCAAGATATCATTTCTGGATCTTGGGGAGACATGAAGGTGTCTGTATATTAATGTAATGGTGCGGTCTAAGGTTGTAGTCGTGGAGTTGAATTGGTGTTTATATTTAGGTACAAAGTTGATGGCTCATACAGTATATACCAGGCACTAGACATAAGGGAAACAATAAATTATCATGCGTACTCTTCCTCTTTAAAGATTTATGATGCAGTGTTTTGGGTTTGGTTATTTTATGGAGAAGAAAGTTGTGTTGTGTGTGATGCTCAGTGAACTTTGGCTATTTTTTTTTTTTGTGTGTTTTAATTTGACTTTGTGGTAGTGGTTCAGTGAAAGGATTCATCATCTATGAATTAATTAATTTTTATTTCAGAAGTACTTTGTCAGCAACGATTCATAATTTGTTACTCAAATTACATACAAGTGAAATTGTATGATTACCAAATGAGGTGCTAATTACTCAAAAAATGTGTTTTGATTACACAATATTAATGTAAGGTTTTGTTCCATCTCAGAGGAAGGTGGGGCAAGGTAAGTAGTGTTGGTGAGGCCAGCACTGCCCCTCCTGCGCCCTCCATCATCACCACCACCACCACAACAACCTTGACCTTCAGCTCCACCACCACCACCACCACCTTCCCCTCTGCTAGCGTGGCTGGCATGGCATGTGGCGCCGGGCCCCTGTCACTCTGGGCTCCCCTGCGGTCGCAGGTGGTGGCGGCGGCGCCGTGGGTGGTGTCTGCCGGCGGGCAGAGTTGGCTCCCCAGCAACTCCCTCATAGGCTCTGCAGAAAGTGCCTGCCTGCCTGGCCTACGGCTGCCACACACAGCGACTTATTGATCTTTTGTGTAGCTCCAGCCATTAATTGTGATGTAATAGTTCAGTAGTAAAACCATAGTTATATGAAAGTGTTAACTGCTAGCATCAAAGTGTTGCACAATAACTGACAGACGTATGTTTTATCAGTAAAGAAAGATGCTTTCAACAGTTTTAAAGCTGAAGCAATGTTAAGGTTAATTTAAAAGCGTTAATTGTTTGTTAAATTAGGTAATAAATAACAAGTGGCTGAGAGTTTTGCAGGGATTGCATGCAGGTGGCTCATGGACAAGAAATTTTTCCCCTGAAGTGAAAAGTGCGTAATATTGCTTTGCCTCTAAGTAGTCAATCAGTTATTGTGGAGCTATACTATTCTGGTATCAGCAATTTGGAAACTTTTTCTTAAATGACTTGAAATTTCCTTAGTAGTGGAAGTGGTGACAGTGACAGCGCCGCCGGCACGACAGGTGAAGCGAAGGACTGTGGTGCAGCGATGGGTCGGTCAGGGTGGAATGCTATGCACTAAGCTCTCTTTGCAGGTGTCAAGGTTCCCCATTGTAAGGAAAGAAAGCAGGGCCGGCCGGCCAGCCAGCCAGCCAGCTTCTAGCAGTAGCCAACACCAGCACAACAAGAGAGGAAAGATGAGGTGGAAGGAGATGAGAAGGGTCAGGTTGGACAGGTGGAGGAGGATGGACGGCCAGCAGTGGGCTTCGTCACTTGGCCCGCTGGGGTCTTTTATGCACTCATTGTTGTCTGGTTTGTATGTCCTCTTAAAGGAAGCAACCATGGAACATGTATTTAGAGGAAGGGTAAACTACTGTACTGTAGTGGTGTCATGATGTGACTATAACTTGCGCAGCTTCACTGCATTGTTTCACTGTGCCTGGTAGTAGCCATCAACTACTTGTGCCTCTAGTAGGCAACATATCCCCCCAGCATGTTATCATTCTTCCCCAGGAACTACATGAACGATGCCCTACGTACGGACGTATTTGGCACAATCCTGAAACAATCGCCTGTGCTTGTATCTGGCTGGCTGCTCGCTTGTTGAAGGTCAGCTTGCCTAACAACCTCAGTGTGGTGTTGTTACGAGCCTCGCGAGAGAGCATTGAGGAAGTGGCAGCTTCAATACTCAGACTCTACTCTAGGAAGAAGGCAAGTATGCAGTACATTAGTAAATACAGTTAGCATTTTCGCATCTGCAGCAATATAATGGGAAGCAATATACTGTATGTGTTGCTGCTTGGTTTTGGTAATGCTGTACAGTACTTGTAATCTTCATATAATGGAACAAACTTGGGTCTATTACTGCAGTTTGTCTTTCAGTGTTTTGATTTAAGATTATATGCTTTTGATGTCCTGGTTTGAAAGTTTTTGCTGAAGCTGCTTATGATGCTGAATTTGATGGTGTAGCTGAAGTTGATGGTTTAGGCCTTCGAATAATAAAGCTGTCGAAAGAACCTTTCACATCTTTATGTACAGGTCATATACGTTTTTCAAGTCCCTGTTAATTTTAATGCTTCATTCTGTTAATGGATCCACTTCAAAAATATGTTCACTGCTTGCTCCATATAATATCCATAGACCTCTCTCACCCTTTTCATATCATTTTAACACATCTAGTTTCTCGGCTAAGGTTAAACATTTTCTTAGTTTTTGACCAACACTACCATCACTTGCTCTCTTGCTCATGTTGAGTTGAATGGGGATGTAAAAATGCTGTAAGAAACCTGAGAAAGTTTTTCTCCGTTTCCTGTTCAGATGCGTGAAAACAAAGGGCCTGCCAGCTGCGACTGTTTATACTACTGATGCTGGCATCGCCACTCACAGGCCCAGCAGCCTCCATGCGCATAGGGTTTTTTATATAATTATTTATATGAAAATTTTATTCTATTTTCGTCGTAAATTTAAAGAAAATGTATGGCGTAAATTTAATTGGGTCCTAAATTAACCAGGGTCTTCAATATGAATCGTCGTTAGTAGAACCGTCGTTATCGGGGGCTTTCCTGTACTATCATCTTGAGTGTCACTCAAACTGTCTTTACTGGGAGGATGGTTGATGAACTTCATAATGAACACCGACTCCCGTTGTCTCGGTAATGTTGCCATCATCCTTCGTCCGTTGTGTCATGTCGAACAAATTATTAAAGATATTTTTTTGAGTGACTGTACATTGCACATACTGTATTAGAATAGATGATTAGGGTAACAAAGTCGTGGTGAAAAGTACGCAATCACGTAAGAGAAGTAGATGAAGTGCCAGTGAGCGAGAAGGTGCAGTCACTAGCGATGATTGTCACTTGCTATTATATCTGAATATCATTAAGTTTCCATAGAGCATTGGTGGCCAAACTTGCTTAACCTAAGAGTCGCATACGATAATCTTAAGTAGTTGGAGAGCCACAAGACATGAAGAAAATGTACACACGTTTTTTGTGTTCACATTTATGACAAAAATTATTTGCCAATATTACTAAAAACTGTGTATGCAGTAATATTTACTAATGTATGTAAGTTTTTTAAATATTTTTTTTCAATAATCAGGAGTACAAATATACACAAAATGTTATAAAAATCTTGAGTGATGTTTGTTTTGACGTTGCTGAGGATGTTTCATACATAATAAACTATATACACATGTCCAAAATATGCAGTCTGCATTTCAGTAACATAAATTGGATTGCTGAAGGAAAAAAGGTGAAAATAACTTAAATATTTTTAATTGCACTGTAAAACCTCGTTAAAGTGGACCCGGCTAAGGCTGATATTGTCTAAGCTGGACAAAATTATCCCCCCACCACCACCACCTTCGTTCTAGAAGGTCGTTCGTTAACCGAAACCATCGTTTCAATAGGATTTCTGAGCAGGGACACAAACTGACGCCATTCTGAGCGAAGTAAGTGGCTGTTTGCGGCAAACTAGTTCCCTGTACTTTAGTTATGTTAATAATTGTTAAAATGACTAAAAAAATTTAATATATGACTTGGAAAATTATTGAATAGTACAACCTTCTCGATATTTACTCAAATGGTAACGAATTTAAGCCCTAAAACCGATTACTGTATTGGTGGACTAATACTACAGCTGGTGAGCAGGCGAAAGCAGACAAAAACATGTTGGAAAAAATTCTTAAGGAATTCGTTAACCGAATTTTTCTTAACCGAAGTGAAGATTCCTTGTGGTTATCATGGTGGTCACTTCTTCTGCCTATACCGCCGTTGGTCTTGTTGGAGCTCTGTAAGCATGTCTGCCTGATGCGGGGCTCCACCTCAGATTTTTTGTTCGAGATTTTCTCCCATAACCTTATACCTACCAAGGTTAATCTGCAAGGCAGCGGGGCAATGGTTGGTAGGCGCCAGGATGTGTCCACATGCCAGTGGGCCTATGTGCTGTCCCTCTGGGGTCCACGGTTACTCCGAGATCCCCTGCTGGTCTAGCCTGGGCCCAGCAGGTAACTCCAGTTACTGTGTGTTGCCACGAAGAGAGACAGCAGGATTCTTGATTGTGAAGAGGCTATGTACTGGCAGGGGAAGACTTATGCAAGTTGCTATCCTGTTCGCCACGAGGGCTAGCCAGTAGTATATATATATATATATATATATATATATATATATATATATATATATATATATATATATATATATATATATATATATATATAAACTTAGACTATGAATTAGTGGTATTTTAAACATTGTTTTGTAAGTACGGTATGCATATAGCATGTGTTCCTGATTCGCATTTCCGACTTAAGAAAGTCCAGAACGGAACCATTTCATAACCCAGGAACCCCCTGTAGTCAAAATCAGATATAGAAAGTCAACTAATATGTTATATTAGAATTTTAAGGTAATGAAAATTTTCAGGTTAAATTGGAGACTTTAGAAGCAAAAGTTGAGGAGATCCTGAGGGAACAACAGGAGGCAAGATTACGGAGCAAAGTTGTAGCATCATTAACCACCCCCCTGACCAACACTCACTTCAGTCCTGTGTCTCATAACAATTCTCCTAGCAAAACATCGTCACCTACACGGAAACGTTCCTCTTCTCCAGAAAGGTGAGTCATGTGCCTCTTTTGTGTGTTTACAGAGATAATTATACTCACTCTTACTGTAAACTTACCTTTTGTTTGTAGCTGTACTTGTGTGTTACTAGTAATACAGTTTGTTGGAAACACTGCTTCTTGTCTGATCAACAAAGTTAACCAACATTGGTTCTGGTTAGTACTAGATGGGTTACTGCCTGTCCCTAAAAACACCAGTTGCTGCTGGCATAAGGACTCTACTGGAAACAAGCATCTCTTGGCTTTGTCACTCAGCTGTCCTTGATCAAAGTGACTGAATATCAATTACTATTACAGTTGTTTTTTTGCATATTTGTGATATTGGTAGCCATGAACAGCTGGGTAATATAAATCCCTTTAAATTTGTTTCAGAAATTCGGGAAGAAAGCGGAGCGGAAGCAGCGGCAGTAGATCAAGAAGTAGGAGCCGCAGTCACTCAAGGTCGTCTCACCGCCGTTCTCGCAAGAAGCAACGTCGTGGAGATTCCCGTTCCTCGCGTTCTCACTCCAGATCTGCTTCTAGATCGCGAACGAGGTCCAGGTCCCGTTCCCGAGACAAACACAGAGGCAACAAGAAATACTCCAGAACTCCGTCTCCGACAGTTACTCCGCCTCCGAGATTTACCAAGAATAAGTAAGTTTTCTGACATTGTTTAGTGCACATGAGGTACAGTAAATAAATACTAATGCTAGAATTATGTGGGTTTTCCATGAAATACTATAGGATGGTAAATGTTGGAAGTAGACACCATTGCCAATATTTACTGTATATTCATCAAGGTATATAACAGTGTTGGTGCTATAACAAGGAGCAACCATACTGTTAATTATTATAGGTGCAGGGGAACAACTTTTCTAGCTGTCTGTTGTATGTAACTGTTTCTTAATTATAATTCTTTTTGCAGAGACAAGGGATTAATTGTGAGGTCAAGATCCAGGTCCCATTCCAGATCTCCCCAAAGAAATTATGAGAAGTACGATCGGTATGAGAAGTACGACAAAGTGGAGAGATATTCCAAGGGCAGTGATAGATATGATAAGAATGAGAGGTATGTGAGAGATGAGAAAGTCCACAAGTACCTAAACAAAAGAAAAGGGTGACAAATATTCCTCCAGTAAGTACAACAACAAGTTCGACAGATACGAAGTGGATAAAAAGAAATACGACAGAGACGATAATAAAAAGTACTACGATAACGGCTTCGGCAAACCCCACAAAGCGAAGAAGAACGGGCGTCACAGATCCCGGTCACGAGATAGACGACGGTAGTCAACCTAGGCATTTCTCTTAGTTGGAGACGGTGATGGCGAGAGTTGGTGTAACTCCAAAACCCAGGGATATTCATATTACCTGAAAACTTCACAAATTTCAATTTCTGCATAATTTATAGGAGTCCTTGTGTGTTATATTTTGAAGCCATACACAGACAGTTTTGATGTACAAGAGAATTTATAAAAATACGTGTGTGTATATAGAGAAATATATATGAATAAGTTCAGTTCTTCACCAATCAGTTGGCATCGATACCTTCCTAGATCAGTTTGAAGGACAGTGATCCACTTTGTGTGAGCTTTGGCCAAATCTAATGTAACCAGAAATATATTTGTGTTAGTAAGTGTCGGCCATTGTGGGATTATGAGGTGCTCATGTTAGCTCATATTGAGCAGCTGCACATGTTCCTGTGTACATTATCAGGAAGTCATTACAACAATAACCTTATTTTCTCATATCAGTCACCATATATGTCTTCACTTGTATTGTTTTATTATATAAAGTACCTTGACAATACAGTAACACTTATTATTGACTTGTTATGATGAGTGCCATTTATTAAAATTGTTGAGATTAGTTTACTCAGGGCATATTTATTTATAAATGTAATGTTTGTCCATTTCCAAAAATGTTAAAATGATTAAGTTTTTGGTAAAAGACATACAGTAGCTACACAACTTAGGAGTTACAAACAGCTAGTGCATGAAAAAATAAATATTTGCCTCAAATTTGTTGTTTATGTTGATTTTAAAATTTTCTGAAGTGAAACAAAAAAATTGCAAAATAGTAAATTGTCTATTATTTGAAATTACTGTACTGTATTGTACAGTATTTTAATGAATCCTGATCATTATGTTAGGTCTCACTTTACCAGAACATAAATATTTGATACTTTAACTTGTGACAACACACTGTACCACACTTGACACAGCTACACGCTGTACCATACATGACACAGCTACACACTGTACCACACTTGACACCTCTCATCTGACACAGCTACACACTGTACCACACTTGACACAGCTACACGCTACCATACTTGACACAGCTACACACTGTACCACACTTGACACCTCTCATCTGACACAGCTACACACTGTACCACACTTGACACCTCTCATTTGACACAGCTACTCACTGTACCATACATGACACCTCTCACCTGACACAGCTACACACTGTACCACACTTGACACCTCTCATCTGACACAGCTACACACTGTACCACACTTGACACAGCTACACGCTGTACCATACATGACACAGCCACACTGTACCACACTTGACACCTCTCATCTGACACAGCTACACACTGTACCACACTTGACACCTTCATCTGACACAGCTACCACTGTACCATAGACACCTCTCATCTGACACAGCTACACGCTGTACCATACATGACACAGCTACACACTGTACCACACTTGACACCTCTCATCTGACACAGCTACACACTGTACCACACTTGACACCTCTCATCTGACACAGCTACACACTGTACCACACTTGACACCTCTCATCTGACACAGCTACTCACTGTACCATACATGACACCTCTCACCTGACACAGCTACACACTGTACACTTGACACCTCTCATCTGACACCCAGCTACACACTGTACCATACATGACACAGCTACACGCTGTAACATACATGACACCTCTCATCTGACACAGCTACACACTGTACCACACTTGACACCTCTCATCTGACACAGCTACACACTGTACCACACTTGACACCTCTCATCTGACACAGCTACACACTGTACCACACTTGACACAGCTACACACTGTACCATACATGACACAGCTACACGCTGTAACATACATGACACCTCTCATCTGACACAGCTACACACTGTACCACACTTGACACCTCTCATCTGACACAGCTACTCACTGTACCATACATGACACCTCTCACCTGACACAGCTATACACTGTACTGCACTTGACACCTCATAGAAATGTCTAATGGTCTTTAATTTACAAATTATTCAACATTGAGTGACATTTGAAGACAACAATTCTGTGCAATTTGTCAGTGGTGACATGAATAACAACTTACATGTGCAATTTGTTAGATAATCTGATTGGTAGGGAATTGCTTGTTATTACAGAATGTATTCTGTCTCAATAGTTATCACTTGGACCGGACTGTTTAAATCATATCGAGTGCTAATAATTGTCATCTTTAAAGTCACATTTGACCCAAAATATAAAGATAGACATATTTGATGTTTATTTAAAGTTTGATATCAGTGCAGTATAGTAGTTAAGCCCTTGTGAAGTAACAGTGAGACAGAGTATGTTAAACTTTCATTACACTATTTGTATGTTGTCTTTAAGGAGTAGGAGATAAATAAAAAAGTTACCAAAAAATGTTAGATTATCAAGTAACGAGTATTTTCTGATATTTGCCGACATAATGTTTGACTTGGTTACTTAAACTGTGATGTGTACATATTATTGAAACTTTGCTAAATACCATGTAGTAATTTCATCTGAGAAACGTGTATATTCACATTCATGTAGTCGGAAAATAAATTATTTTTTATTTACTTTTTGTTTTTCTTGAAAGAGCAATTTGGGTTTTCAGTTGCCAGTGGCAGCAAAATGGTTTCATTAAAATGATAGATCCAAGAGGAGGGGGGGGGGATACCTGACTGGTCCTCTCGTCACACAATAAATATTGTATTATTTGTTAAACTTAATTAGGTATGAACATATCTCTTTATTTCATCATACCGCAAGAGTTTACTGAAGGAGTTATGAGTGAGAAATGAATATTAAGAATGAAAGGTAATATTTAAAAAAAAAAAATAGGAAATTTTGTGAATACTGTACAGTGAGACCTCCATATAACAGACTTCTCTCCATATACAGCACTGAACTATAGTCCATTACATCGGGGGTTTCACATCCAATGGACTTTCATCTCTATAATTTGTTGGATGGAGGTTTTACATCTAATACACCCTCAATATAATGGACATTCATCTCCCTGTATTGCGTTAAATTTAAGTTTCGTTGTTCAGTACCACAAAATTTAATGGGGAAGGTAACTGAGTCTACACTACAGTACTGGCTGGCTGTATTGATGGATAACTACATAATAAATGCCTATAGATTCCCTGCACAAAGGTAAAGATAATAAAATTTAGCAAAATATTTTGTTAAGTATCTAATAAAATAATTATTATCAACTATAAATTGACTGTCTTGGAACAGTGAGAGTTTGGCAACAATTATAATAATATTTTGGGTTTTAAGTTTGAGTGATGCAACACAAGATGGTGAGGCGTGGTGCACCTTAACCTGGTACTATTTGCTCTCCATATCTGATGTAGTGTAATTACTAACCTCATTTCCTGCTTTAAAAACCATTAGTTGTTGGAGCACAATAAATAATATAATATTAATGGCATAAATCCACTGCAAACTACAGTATTTCTTATTAGCATTCCTATAAATTTTCTTAAAATTTGCCGGAATATTTATACAGTGCTGTACTCGGGTATCTGAAATTAATTACAGAATAATACAAAAATTATATAAACAAAGGCGTCCAATTGATCACTTTTTGGTGTCTGTTGGGTAAGGTTAAACCGACTAGGATGAGAACAACAATAAACTGTTAATGTATATTAATAAATATAGCTTCAAACACTTGCCTAGATCAACACCCAGTAACTTGTAGAAGTTCACAGTACTGTATTTGTTGCCTTCCTCAGCCTTGTGTGGGCAAGGGAAGTAATGCTGGCCCACATCATCCCTTTCTTCATCTGATGTCAAAACTGGCAATCTGAGTTGTCAGGATGTTCATCTGACTGAAAGTTGTCACCTGGCTCGGTGGTAATGCGGCAGTGACATATCATCCCAGGATGTAAACAGCCAATCATATTGACTTACAATATTTCAAAACACTCCTGATGCTATACACTCCTTCATACAAATGTTTGCGGATGATGCCAAGTTATTTCGGGAAATTAAGAACCAAGCAGACTGTGAAGAGCTGCAGAAGGACCTCTATGGGCTCTAAGAATGGTCGAAGAAATGGCTGCTGAGATTCAATGTCACGAAGTGTAAGAGGATGCACCTGGGGCATACCAACGGTAAGGAGGTGTATTATATGTCCCAACGGGATGAAGAAACTGCACTATTTGAGACTGAATGTGAGAAGGACCTAGGTGTGTATGTTGACAATGAGCTGAAGTTCTCGGGCCACTGCAAGAAGGAGATAAAGCAGGCAAATAAATTATTGGGTCTTTTAAGAAGGTCGTTCAGATATCTAGACGGTCCGTCCCTCGTAACGATCTTTAAGAGTGAAGTGCTTCCCCATCTGGAGTACTGTCACCCTGTCTGGTCCCCGAGATATGCTAGGGACTGTCAGTTGGTTGAAAATGTTCAAAGGAGGGCCACCAGACTGGTGCCTGCCCTTGGGCACCTCAGCTACCCTGAGAGATTGGAGCGCCTGAACTTGCCTAGCTTATACTACAGACGGGTAAGGGGGGACCTAGTTGAGGTGTATAAGCATCTCAGGGAGCACTACTCAGTAGAGTGTCCTTACTTGGAGCTGGCGGACGCTCGCCCCACAAGGGGTCACAGCTCAAGACTGAAGAAGCCACAAGTCCAGAAAACTGTGAGGGCAAACTACCAGAGAGTGTTGTGACGGCACCGAGTGTGAGCTGTTTCAAGACCAGACTTGACCAACACTGGAGCAGGTTCAGGTACATTCAGGAGCCGGTGCATGCCCAGTACTTGCCAACAGTGAGTGACAGAGACGTGACCGATCACCCGGGCGGCTAACGAGCTGATCAGTGGCGAAGAGGATAAAAGTAAAAGTAAGATTGATTAGCCATGACCCTGGGGCCTGGCGACACACTCATGGATCAGCGCCATCTACAGTTAGCGCAACACACTACACTGATAAGCGGGTGTAAGAGGTCCTTCATTTTATGTTCCTTGGTAGCATGGCTGATGTTTGTCATCACCAGACACAGGTAACTACACCATTACTTCATTAAAACACCAATGAACTTATGACAAGATAATTCCCTAACTTTGTAGGAATCATTGAACTCAAAATAGTTTCAATAGTTTACACTTCAGATTACAGCACAGTAATTGGTAGTTATCATCGTTCGGTTATGTTTTTCTGTATTTTCTTTGTGATTTGAACCATTCTGATCTACTGCAGTTCCAAATAGGTGCATAACCGCAACGATAGTTTCACCTTATAATGATAGTTGCTCCAAAATACGTTTTAGTAGTCAGTTGTTTCCTGGAGAATATCTGGTGGTAATAATTAAGGCAATTGCCCGCCATAACGACCCACTGCATGTCATTTTAGCATAGAACACTGGCCACCAGACTGGTGCCTCATGACCACACCTATAGTGGCCACTGGTGGGCCAGGGGAGACAGTCGAGGGTTATGAAGATGTCAGTCAGCTTCCCTTGGTCAAATTGATTGAATATCAGTTATTAGTATGCTATGGATATTTGACCGGTTGTCGGATAGGTAGGTTTTTTAGACTAACACCAGAAGGAGTTGATAGAATTGGACGAAACTTGTTGAAATGTCATTTCCAATCTGCTAAGTCGATAAATGGAAAAAAAGAAGGTAAATATTCGTCCATTGGCTGTCCTCAGGTTATGGTCTAGTGTGTATTATGGTCTGTTGTACTCAAACCTGACCTTCATTTCTGGTGCAATTTAGTGGGTTTTTTAAGAAAAAATTAACATTTTCATTTGTAACAGAAACTGCTAATTTGCACCAAAATGGCAGTCAGGTTCGAGTAAAACACCATTAAACACACACACAAAATAAACCTAACCTAACCTCACTTGACAACTTAACCTAACCTAACCATTTTTTGGAGCTTATCTACTACTGTGGTGGAGGATACAGCCGGGTGATCTGGTATGCTTAAGGTTACACACAAAAGAATTTATCCTGTCTTAAAAGTAAACAATTTCCACAGGTATGACACAGTCTTGGTGTTGGTGGGCCACTGTAATCCTGTAATACTTGGATTGCTTCCCTACTGTTCTGATAAACTCGCTGAATAACGGCTAGATAAGGGAGAAAGCACTTTTCGCACGCCATCACGAGCCTTCAAAATGGCTGCTTCAAATGATTGGTCAGCCAAGTCACATAACACGATACTTGAAGGTCATTTGGTGTCATGTTGCAAAGAGGAGGAGAGAAGTGACTCTGGCAACATGGCGGGTACAGAAATTTACGCCTAGAAATTTGTGAGATACTCCGTTAATATTAATGTGTACAAGAAATTATTTGAAGTTGTATGTTTGGTTTTTATAGTCTTTGTGTCTGTAATATTGAAAATTGGAAACCTGTCGACAGTTAATGGACGAATATTAACCAAAAAGCATGCACAGAACCTTTAGAACTTGACCTAACCTAAAGTAACCTACATAACTTACCAGAAAAACCTTCTAAAACAGACCTAACAGCACTGAACAGATTCTTCTTTACATTTGTCTATATAATGAATTGTTATTAATGTTTCTACAAAGTTTCATCTAATTCTATCAACTCCTTCTGGTGTTGGTCAAAATAAAGCCTACCTAACAGACAACCGGATAAATATCCATAGCGTATTTTAATTTAGGTTATGCTAGTTCATTTTGGCCAAATTTTTAAGTATATACTGTACCATTTAAACTGCTGTATACTGTACTTTAAATATCTGGGGTGGACTTAGGATAGTGTTCAGGACAAAAAATGTCAACAAATTAACAGTACCGGTATGGAAATGTCAATTTGGTGTTTTTTGGAGGTAAGCAAGAACTCTCTTCAATACTATATCTGGCCACAGTTGTATCATTCTTTTAAAGTACAGTACAGTACAATATTACTGACTGCATTACTGGTACTTAATCAACCAATTTATTCACCATGTTAATGGAATTCTTCTTCAAAGAAATAAAGTACAGATTTTGTAGATTTTTATACACCAATAATATGAGTATCATAATGTACCAGGCTGTGTTTCTCACAACTATGGCTCTGTTTTGGTGTCTGGTAGTCCTTTAGCTATACTGTACTATTGTAACTACAGTGGTCCCTCGGTTAACGAACTCAATTCGTTCCAGAGGGTCGTTCGTTAACTGAAACCATTGTTTCAATGGGATTTTGGGTAATTGGTTCCAGCTCACCGAAAATTACATACAAAGTAAAAAAAAATGCAGTGACGTACACTTACTTTGAGGTGTGTACGTAGAAGGCTTAATAACTTGTCCCACCAATATTTTAACAGGTGGTTTAATAACTTGTCCCACCAATATTTTAACAGGTGGTTTAATAACTTGTCCCACCAATATTTTAACAGGTGGTTTAATAACTTGTCCCACCAATATTTTAACATGTGGTTTAATATCTTGTCCCACCAATATTTTAACATGTGGTTTAATATCTTGTCCCACCAATATTTTAACATGTGGTTTAATAACTTGTCCCACCAATATTTTAACATGTGGTTTAATATCTTGTCCCACCAATATTTTAACAGGTGGTTTAATAACTTGTCCCACCAATATTTTAACATGTGGTTTAATAACTTGTCCCACCAATATTTTAACATGTGGTTTAATATCTTGTCCCACCAATATTTTAACATGTGGTTTAATATCTTGTCCCACCAATATTTTAACATGTGGTTTAATAACTTGTCCCACCAATATTTTAACATGTGGTTTAATATCTTGTCCCACCAATATTTTAACATGTGGTTTAATAACTTCTCTCACCGACATATTAACAGGTTTACAATGATATACTGTTGGTATAAAAGTAACTTGTAGCGTGGTACAGAATGCTCTCTCTGTTTTACAGGCAAGCAATCAGTCAGGTGAGAAAGTTTAATCTAAGAAGGAAGATGACCTCAAATGACATCACAGAAGTAGACAGTAGTGTACAGAGCGACGCTGGTGACGACCTCGGCTTTGTTGTGGACAAACGGCCGTTCACTTCGGTAACTGAAGGCAAAGCGGAGGTTCTCTTTCCATCGTCACACGACGTTTTCTACAATCCCGTTCAGGAGTTCAACAGAGACTTAAGGTAAGAATTTATATTTACCTTTTAACCCTTAGGCCCCGGCTCACGTTCCGGAACGTCCGCCTAGTTTCCCGCCATTTTTTTACTATTTTTAGAAAAGTTGATTTTTTCTCGATTTATCCCCACGGGGAAGGGGGGTGGTACTGCCAGCAGCACCCTAACCTGGGCCTTAAGGGTTCCTGATCGACACGATAAACTTAATAACATTCTTGATCTTTGTTTTACCTCTAACCCCTCACACTATTCATACTCAATTTCTGCCTCCTTAGGGTCTTCTGATCACAATCTTATTTCTGTTAAATCAAACTGGGCACGACCACCTCCCTCCCACCCCCTCTAAACGTCAACTATGGCACTATCGGAGGGCAAGCCGGCAATACTTGCGAGAATTCTTCACCGACTTTCCTTGGGATGAATGTTGCTTTTCCACTCAGGACGCCTCGGTATGTGCTGACAGCATTGCTGGGGTTATACAGGGTGGTATGAGTGCATGTATCTCATCTTCTACCAAAACTTTCACTTTACAATCATGGTTTGATCGCTCCTGTTCTCTTACATGTAGGGAGAGAGATAGGGCATATCAAGCTATCTCCTTCTCCTATTACCCACTCCTCTTTTATTACTTCTAGGAATTGTTGTAAGGTTATTCTTCGTAGGGCCAAGCAGAATTTTATAAAAAGAAAGACCGCTGTCCTGACTAATTCTTCCTCTAGTAAATCCTTCTGGTCCTTAACCAAAAACATCTATAATAACTTCTGCACTCCCTCTTTTCCTCCTCTCTTCTGACCTGATGATTCTATAGCCAACTCTCTCGCAGACAAAGCCAATCTCTTTGGCACCTTATTCTCCTCTAACTCCACCTTAGACGATTCCAACTCTCTCCCTCCTACCCCTGCTCCTCCTACTGAACCTATGCACTTTCCTATAATCTCCACTCATAGGGTTGCTGGAGTGTTATCCAGGTTGGATGTGAGTAAGGCGCATGGACTGGACGGAATACCCCCTCGTGTTCTGAGGGAGTGTACTGAAGTTCTGGCCACTGTACTTGCTCACCTCTTTTGCCTTTGCCTCAAGACCCAAACTTTTTCTTCTTGGAAGTATGCCTCAGTTCAGCCCATCCTGAAGAAGGGTGACCATTCCAGTCCCTCTAACTATCGCCCCATTGCCCTAATTTCATCCCTCTCTAAGATTTTCGAAACTATCTTGAACTCTCATTTTTTCCGTCACCTTGAACGCCATTCTCTTTTGTCGGATCACCAGTATGGCTTTCGCCAGGCGAGATCTATTGGTGATCTCTCCTACTGCACCCATCTTTGGTCATCCTCTCTTAGGGATTATGGGGAAACTTTCATTATAGCCCTCAACATTTCCCAAAGCATTTGACAGGGTACGGCACAAGTCTTTGCTTTCTAAACTTCCCTCTTATGGTTTCTCTCCCCCACTTTGTTCTCTAATTTCTAGCTTCCTTGAGAACCGATCCATGGTAGTTGTTGTTGAGGAATTGACCTCTCGTTCTTTCTCTATCAATAGTGGTGTCCCACAGGGTTCTGTTCTTTCACCTACTCTCTTCCTTCTATGTCGTAAGTCGAGGAGAGACTGTGCTGTACATATACAGTATAGTCTATGTCACTTACTATAGTACTGTTGTTTATATAGTGTTTTTAATTCACCTTTCAGTGTTGCTGTTTTAAGAGTTTTTGCAGCACAATTTAAACAACAAGAAAAGGAGAAGAAAAAGAAACAAGAATTGCAGCAGAAGAACCAGAAGGAAACCTCAGAGGAAGGAAACACAAACAATAATGGTAAAGAGTTATCACTTGAAGATGAGAACAGTTTGCTTCTTCCTTCAGGAGTTAAGGATGAAAATGGTATCTGTATTTTGGAAGGTCTGGCTGCTTCAGGGCTCAGATCCATCCGTTATGCACGGGAAGTTGGAGGCATCAAGAAGATCGTAGCCAATGATATATCTAATCAGGCTCTGGAGTGTATGAAACGTAACATCGACCACAACGGAGTGAAAGACGTCGTCATCCCAAGCCACAGTGATGCCAGGCAAGTATCTTATTTCTCTCAAATTTCTTTCATAGATGAAAAATTAAGTCATGTTCTTTGCAATTTTAAAATAATCGATGGCAAACACTTTTTAGTCAAATAATTTTTTGTATTAATAGAGCTGTGTTTAAGAGAGCAGCCTTCTACAGTACTATACTTTGACCCATTGGATATTGTACAGGCATATGTATTTATTTCCCATGGAATGTGAATTCTTTAGTGAAATATAAAAGTGGTAACTGGTCCATTTTTACTATTTTTATATTGAGGCAAAACCCCCAAAAATCTTAAAAACAACATTTGACAGGTAGGGGGAAAGTGTGAAGAAGAAATTGAAAATACAAATTATTTATGTGATAAAAATTAGCCAAAACTATGTCAAATGCTGTCAAAAATTCTTAAAATAATATTACTCCAAAACCATCATATACGCGGCAGACAAGATGCTGGGCGCTGATGTCACCGCTGTGATTGGGCCATGTTTCCTTACCACCCAAGCGCCCCCTCCGCCGCACGCTGTGATTGGTCTATTTAACCTTGCGTGCCCCTGCCACCAGGGCTGATGACCTTGGCCGCACCAGTCTCATTGTCTCCGCGTATACTCACTCGTGCCCAGGAACCTGTTTTGTTTTTTTGTTTCAACACAATGGCTACCGCTGGATCCCCACCACCCCTGAGAAACCTTGAACTACCTGGCCCAAGCCCAAGAAGGTGTGAATGTTTACAACTTTTCCACATGAAGATCATCATCATGGTTAGAAGACATGTTCAACTCTTTTATTATATGTACTGTGCAGTTTATGTGTAGTACAGTATTTGTGTTGCTTCCATCCAGGTTTACCTCCCACTCCCCTAGCTAAATTGAGTTTTATCTTTTGGGAAACCGTCTTACTCGTTTATACATACTGTACCGTACTGTACATGCACGGAAGGTTTTTATAAAACAGAATGTTCTCCACAGTATGGTAATGTACAAGAGTCGTGAACCCAGCACAAGATTTCATGCCGTTGACTTGGATCCCTATGGTTCCCCACACACCTTCCTGGATGGGGCAGTGCAGTGTGTTGTCGATGGTGGTATTCTGCTGGTGACCTGTACGGACATGGCTGTGTTGTGCGGTAACTCTCCAGAGACTTGCTACACCAAGTATGGTGCTTTGTCCATCAAGAGCAAAGCTTGCCATGAAATTGTAAGTGTTCACTACTACTACTATACTAAGTACTTCTACTACTACTTTATTTTTAACGTGGCCTCCAGCCTCACCCAATAGCCACACCTTTGCCACCATTTATTAACTTAGAATTAAACATCCTAATACATAAGTAGCTACCCTGGCTGTGTTGAGTTAGTTGAACTGCAGATCTATGCAGCATTCAGTGACTGTTGCCTCATAGTCAAAATCTTTGACTGTTGTCGGCTTTGGGGCCGATGCTCTCGTTCCCCTGAGGCAGAGCAAAGCCGACCTAAGGAGAGAGAAGGACAGTCGACATCTCAACCAGGCTGTAACATAACTTCTGGGCTGCTGCTTCCATTCAGATAACACCTCCGTGCGTCTGGCATAGAAACATTTTTCACTTGGTCCCATTCTGCCAGAGGTTGTGAACACCAGAGGAGTGAAGCTGCCCTGATCAACATTCAGAATTCTCTCCTCATATGCCCTGATTCTGTCATTCTCGTTCCTCCTATGTGCAGCATTGAGAGCTAGGTTACGGTGACATGCGGCCATGGGGTCGAAAATCCTTATGTCAAAGAAGTCTCGCTGTCCCTGCGTCCAAAATCCTCGAGCACTGATGTCCACACGGGCTTCGTTGGATGTGTTTGAAGTCCTGTGACGGAGGTTCTCACCGTCCAATAGAAAGAGGGGTGGGTCCACCATGACGTCGTGGCAGATTTCCTCGTGCATACAAAGCCCCCTTTCTTGCACACCATGGCCTGGTCAATGTCATAAGATGAACCACACTCGCATTGGGAGAGCACACCTTGTACTGGCCTACCATACCTTGGAACAGTGGCATCTATGAATTCTTGTTTATTAAGGATAAAGCCTTTTGCCCTTATCGGTAACGTTGTTAGCCAGTTTGAAGTGCCCACCTCCTTTGCTATAGCTACTTTTTTTTCCAAGTTCTCTGGCAATTGCTGCAACAGTTGTTGCAGTTTATCACTTTGGGTGTGCTGCCGTTCTGCCATAATGGACCGTAGAATCTTGTTTAATTCGTTGGTATCCACCTGACTTGCTGCATTCTATTATGTGCTCAGTGAGAGCTGCCGTGAGCTTGACAGAGTTCTGATGTTCTGTAGTGGCAAGCTCCACTGGATTAGTCAATCCCATTCCTCCCAGTCTTGGTGGTAGTGCAGTGAGTGACCTTTCTGAATTGAATTGAATTGACACAGTTTATTTAGTCAGAAAAACACAGATACAGAGTGGATAATAATAACAATATCAACATGGCTGAGCCAGTTGAGAACCTGAGCTCTCTTTTAGGCACCTGATATATACTATACATTTATCTCAAGGAAGTATTATGTAACATTTAGTATCATCTGGAATAGTACAATAGCATGGTGGTAATAAGAACATCTCATAATGTTACCACGGTTATCACTTCAATATTTATTAATTTTATTTATTTATTATTTTTTTTAGTTTATTTATAAAGACGAAAGCTAAGGTACTCCGTTGTTTCCATTTTCCCGTGTGATTTTATCAAGATTTATCTTATCCACGTTTTCATTGTGGATTTACATGAAATATATATATACATAAATTACAGTGGAATTGAAATATATAAGTATAATGGGGGAGCAGTACAACATGGGTTGTACAGTAATAAGGTTGAACAAGAGGACAGAGCTGTCAGGATTATGTCTAGTTGGCAATTATGTTTATTGCAATGGTAATTACTTATCTATTTACATGATAATTTCTCATAAAACGGTTTTGATGGTACAATAAAAGCAGGTACTGTAAATATAGTAGGTGTTACAAGAAATATTAATACTTAGACAATAGATATTTTTTAAGAGATGATTTAAAGGAAGGGAGCGTAGTCTTTGCTCGGATGGATGGGGTTAAATAAGGGTTCTTCACTAGTGTTGGGATAAAAGCGACATTGATGGCATCTTCCAGAGGGCAGAAGAGGGGTCCGATATCAGGGATAGTGCGCATCAGGTAATTCCAGCGATGCTTGACTTCATGGGTGAATGCCGCAAGAGCCACATGTGGCTCTGTTTTAGCAATATTAGACATCTTGGATTTCGTTAACCCACTCATTCACCTTTCCCGTTACTTACTCTGTCTTGAAGTCCTTCATGCCAATTACCGCACCTTGATGTCTTTGGCCATCCTTTGTTATTTTGACCTCACTTCCACCGAATACCTCCATTGCCCGTTCATAGTGTTCTGGCTTCACAATGAGGGAGGACTTGCTGGCATTTAGGTGGTACCCTATTTGTGGACCTCATCATGTTATCAGGTCCCACCACTTTTTGATGTCCTCCACTTTTCCTGCTCCTGTTAGATCATCAGCGTATGCCACTTGCTTGACCTCGGTTGTTTCATATTTAATTGTATGTTGGAGCATGGACAGACCTAGTGCGTACCTTGCCATGGCGACAGGGTCCCCCTGCGTTGTTCCCTCAGTTGACTGTATGATGGTATCTCCTCTTTGGGCCTTGAAGCTTGTTATATAGAGGTCTGATGGGTTCCTATAGGGGTTTTCAACATACATTGCAAAGCCTTACACTTGATCTTGATGTTGTGCAGTGTAGCCTTGCGGTTGATTATGTTGAATGCGTTGGAAGCGTCAACCAGGAGTACTGCCTCACAATCACTCTGCTCAAATATCTTTCTCATGGTGTGAATGGCAGCTTCACCCCCAGCCTGGTGGCCAGCACATACTAACAAGTTCCCTGCTGCTGCCCTGACATCATCGTTTACCACCTCCATTATGCATTTTCCAATGATCCATCTCGGCACTTCCCCCACTCCTAAAGGCCTACATCCTGGGTTTTTATCCAGGGGAATGAGGCGGCAGGCCATCAGAGCGTGGGGGTGGTGGCAGCACGAGGTTGCTAGCTTTCTTGCAAGGATGGTGGTGGCTTTGCAGAGGTCACTTGTTGCTGCACCAAACTTGTTAGTGCTGAGGATGCCTCTCCAACCATCTGCATCCAGGCCTGAAGGGCCAGCTCCTCCTGTGTTTTCAGTGCTTTTTTCCCCACACCATCCCCCCCCTGTTATTTTCTCGAACAGGACAGCATTTGGAGGGATATTGGCACCCTGGAACCACCACCACCTCCTGCTGCTGCTGCTGTCCACAGATGTTGCACATGTGGGGGGCTACATCTAGTGTGGGAAGGGCGGTGGCAGAGTCTTTCCGGCGTTGGCGCTTGGCTGCCTCAGTATGCAGTCGGGTTAACTCGAAAGTATTGACACAATCTTGTGTGGTGCTCCTCCAAGCGTTACGGTGTGGAGTCGTCTCCCAGGTGAGTGTGGTTGATTTGGCACTTTTTCAGGTTTGTCTTAAGACTATCCTTATACCCTTTCAGTTGCCTGCCAGCATTACGTTTACTATTCGTTAGGTGACTGTAAAGTAGCTGCTCTGGCACTCTATTGTCGTCCATGTGGGTAACATGGCCAGTCGAACGTAGTTGTTCATGCATAATTGTAGCCTCGATGCTTGTACAGTTGGTGTCAGCAAGAGTACTGGTATTTGTTCTCTTGTCTTCCCAGCAAACTCGGAGGATGGAACGTAGACTATGTTGATGAAAGTTTTCAAATGCCTTGAGGTGCCTTCTGTATGTGACCTATGTCTCGCTGCCATATAGCAGGGTGGGGAGGACCACTGCTCAATATATGTGAAACTTGTAGATAATTTCAGCTCCCTACAGCTGAAGATGGGTACGGAGTCTGCTAAAGGCTTGAGATACACATCTGATCCAATACTGAATCTCTTCATCAATGTCTGCGGTAGTGGACAGGTGGGAGCCGAGCTACTGAAGATGGGTAACATTAGAGAGGGTAGTACCGTTAAGATGGATGGATGGTGGAGGTGTGACTGAACCAGGGGCAGGCTGAAAGAGAATCTGAATCTTACGTACATTCACCTCAAGGCCAAAGTGTGCATATGCATCTGCATAGGTGTTCAGGATCTCCTGTAGGTCACGTTCAGTGTGAGTAACAAGGGTGAGGTCGTCTGTGTACTGAAGTTCAATAATAGAAGCTGCCGACACCTTCGTTCCTGCCTGGAGTCGTCTTATGTTGAAAAGACCCTTCATCTGGAACTCGATGTCCATCCCGCTGGCTAAATTGGTGCTGGCAAGAATAAGGAAGGTAGCCAAAAAAATGGAAAAGAGAGATGGTGCCAGTACACTTCCTTGTTTTAACCCCGTTTGGACGGGGGAAGAACTCAGACTGGGTGCCATTGTGCAGGACACTGCCGTTCATACCATCATGGAGTTGCCTCACAATGGCGTTGAATTTTGGTGGGCAGCCAAAACGGCTGAGGGTCCACCAGAGGGCTTCCCTGTTGACCGAGTCGAAGGCCTTAGGTAGGTCGATGAAAGCCATGTACAGGTCACAACGCTATTCTCTGCACTTTTCCTGTATATGGCGGGCAGCAAAGATCATGTCATTGGTGCCACGTGATGGTCTAAAGCCTCATTGAGATTTTGGGAGGAAGTTTTCCGCCTCGGGAAGAAGTCTGTTTAGGAGGACTCGGGCGATAATCTTGCCAGCTACGGACAGCAGCGAGATCCCACGGTAGTTGTCACAGTCTGACCAGTCTCCGTTGTTCTTATAAATATTGACGATGGAGGCGTCTTTAAGAGCTTGGCAGATTTCCTCCTTTTCCTATATATTCTCCAGGATAGAGCAGACGGCTGGTAAGCAGAGGTCCTCCTGCTTTACCTATACACCTCGGCTGGGATTCCATCAGGCCCTGAGGCTTTGTTACCACGGGCAGTGTATTGGTCCCGTTGTTGTTTGTCTGCTTCTTTAATGATATGCCAGAAGCTATACAGTGAGTTCTGCTATAACGCGTGTTTTGATAACGCGAATTTGCTCTAACGCGATTTATGAATAGAGGAACGATATTTGTATAACACGAACGCTTGTTTGCTGTAACGCAATTTTTGCTTATTATTTCTCCAATTTTGTGGTATTAACTGTGAATATGGTAAAGAAGAATATCTCCAAGAAGCGTTCTGGTGATCGCATTCCCGGTGATGATTGTAAAAGAAAGGCTATAACCCTTGAAGAGAAGCTCGATGTTATCAACCTCAAAATCACCCTTCTCCCCCATCAAGTTACATTCATATTTTTTCAAGGTAAAGTGTTACATTTACTGTATGATTGTAACATTTATTTAGACTGCTATCCTTTGTGTTAGGCTAATTACTAATTTTTTTCCGATTTCGAGTAGTAATCTGCACCTAACCCTATTTTCTCCATAAGCCCTGTTATTTCTATTACGCGATTTTCTATAACACGATATTTTACAAGAACACAATTATCGCGTTATAGCAGAACTGACTGTACACTCCTCCATACAAATGTTTGCTGATGATACCAAGTTATTTTGGGAAATTAAAAACCACACACACACACAGCCACCACCATGGGGGTGAAAGAAATAGCATAAATGAGGGAGTTAGTCATCCAAGAATCAACAGTGTAAGTGAATTACAGGAGAGATTGGCTATGGATGGTTTATAGAGAAGGTACATCAAATAAAATAGAGGAATAACTACATAGGAAAATTCTGTTTATTCTTGGTTGTGGTCACTGCCACAAAGTGGGAAACTCCTGCAAGACTGTGGTCAGGGGAATGGAGTTGTATACTGTAATTGTGTTTGTACATTTCCTATATTTCCATAATAAATAAATAATTGTTCGAGAAATTTTTTTACTTTTTCCGTAATATAATTTTTGTTCTCGTAGGCACTGAGAATTGTCCTCCAGTGTATCGAGTCACACGCCAACCGCTACGGACGACACACTGTGCCTCTCCTCTCCTTGAGTGCAGACTTTTATGTAAGGGTTGTGGTGAAGATATTTACCAGCAAGATCAGATGTAAAGAAACTTTCTCAAAGGTGAGTGATTGTACTGTCTGTTAAAATTGTCTTGATCTTTACTTTAGACAGCACAGAAAAATATATACTTCAGGTGTGGGATAAGATCCTTAACCCTTTGTATGTGTCTCTGTAAGGAAGTCAATAAATTATTAAAAGTGGCATCCTTGTGGTGTAGAGGTTAATTAATTATCTGCGGTGTTAGTATTTTGTACACTTGACAAGACTCGATGTTATGTCTAACCCCTCCCACAAATTGAATTGAATTGAAAAAGTTTATTGAGCCAGAAAAACACAGATACAGTGTGGATAATAATAACAATATCAACATGGCTGAGCCAGTTGAGAACCTGAGCTCTCTTTTAGGCACCTGATATATACTATACATTTATACTACAGTATACAAATAGGTATATATACCCTGTAGATCAGGGGTGTCAAACTCATTTGCCAAGGCGGGCCAGATTTAATATGAGTACACAGTATGCGGGCCAAGTAACATAATTATGAGCACTTCGCAATCACCTCCTAGGTGAGTAGAACGACAAAATAAGAAAGGTGGATTTAGTCTGCGCTCGTGCGAAGTTTTAAAAACAAATAAATCAAGTGTTTACTTACCTTGATCAATCTTATTGTTTGCTACTGCTGCTTCCTGATAATTGGCACCTCTTGGTATGGTCCAGTGCATCAAAGTTTGGCACTAATGACTGAGCTGTAGCAACCTTCAGTATTGAATTAAGGTGCGCGTCAGTAAGTTGAGTCTGAAGCCGAGACTTGTTCAAGTTCATCACAGAGAAGAGTTGTTCACAGACTTATGTCCTTCCGAACATTGACATAATCTTTGAGGCAAAACATTTAATCCTGGGATAATTTGGTCCAAAATATTGTTAAAATGTGCCAACATCAACAATTGAAAACTTATTTCTCAACACAGAATCACACTGGAGCTCATTGGTGATGTTGATTGAGTATATTGTTCTAGGAAACAGTAGACTATTTTATTCAGCTGAGGGATACACTCAATATTTAGTTTTAGCTCCTCAAGGTAAGGCTGGAGCAGCAAATGGGCCGTGGGCCGCATGCAAGAGTGTGTCGGGCCGCATGTTTGACACCCCTGCTGTAGATATTGTGGGCATCCATTTTTCAGCCTTAGCATTCAAGGTCTTCTTCCCTCTTCCATCCTCTTGAATTTTCTAAGGTTCTCACATGTATTATTTATTTATCTTACTCTCTTTACCTCAAGGGTGGATCAGGGGAGGGGTGGAGGTCCAGACCCCCTTTTCTTCAGAAAATTTCAATACTTTTTCTTTAATGCAGTATTGTACTCACGCATTTTTGTATAGTAAAAAGTAATTACTATTGACCTCAGAATGTCTCCTAATATCAAGTACATATGGCCTCAAAATGCCCATGATATTGGTCAGATTTAAAAAAAATTTCTGGGGGCTTACAGCGCCTCCCCAAAACCCTCCAGCTGTGAGGGCTCACCATGTTCCCCCACCCACAAATTCTTGGACCCTCCCTTTTGATATTCCTGGATCTGGCCCTGTACCTATATTACTCCAAAGAGAAAATTGCACAGGTACTTTTGCTACTTCAAGAATAGTTTGGATGTTTGTGTTTCTAACTGCTAGGAATTATTTTGATGAAACAGTGCATAAGTAAATGTTTCGGAAATATTTTCCAGACATCTAGAAATCTTGTCATTTATGTTTAAGATGTGATTGTTAGGTTAGTTTTATGATATATAGTACAGTACTGTATGACTCACACTGGTGTTACAATTGTTTCAGGTTTCATGGTTATATCAGTGTGTTGGATGCGAGACCCAGACGTTACATCCATTGGGCCGTGTTGTTGTTAATGGTAAGAGTGTGAAATATCAGTTGTCTTCTGGTCCACCAGTAGCTAGTGCTTGTTCTCATTGTGGTCACAGACATATAGTTGCAGGGCCAATTTGGTCTGCACCTATTCATAATGTAGACTTTTTAAAATCCGTCAAAGCATCCCTGGTCGAAGACAATTTTTCTACTTACCGACGTATGTATGGTGTTTTGACCATGATGGAAGAAGAGTTGCCGCATGTACCTCTTTACTATGTTTTAGACAAATTAGCTAATGTGGCAGGCATCAACCCCTGCAAAATGATCCAGTTCAGATCGGCTTTACTCAATGCCGGATACAGTGTGTCCATGTCCCACGCAGGTAAGGGGAGCATCAAGACAGATGCCCCATCACAGGTAGTCTGGGACATTATTAGAGCATGGGAAAAACTACATCCTGCAAATAGAGCCAAGATGACTGATGACAGACCAGGGAAAAGATTGTTAGAAAAACAAATACAAACCGAAATAAATTTTGAACTCCATCCACAAGCTAATCCCGAGTCAAAAAAACAAGAATTATTACGCTTCCAGATGAAACCAGAGAGAAACTGGGGGCCAAAGGTTAGAGCTAAAACTAGTCTGTTTCACGGTGACCAGGAGGAGAAACGATCCCGCAATCAAGGGAAAAAAAGAAAATGTCAGCCCGGTGATAAGGAATTACCTGATAAGATATTAAAAGATGAAGCTGATACTACAGTCCTGTAACTGTGTCTGTAGAGGGACCATAAACTGTAGCTTATATATATTCTGTGTGAATAATAATAATACGGCTTTATAAATAAACGTGTTTTATAATTAAAAGACTTCAATCAGAATTCATCTTTTTTAAGGATTGTGGATAAAAGTGGCACTGAGTAGAAAAAATAGTTGACATCATTAGAATTTATTGTTTATAATATGTTAACTTCTAGATTTATAAAGAAATAAAAAGTTACACAGTGCATCATGGTGTATTAATGTTGCCTTTTATAGTACTTTACTGTATTGTACAGTCAGAAACCATAATGTCTAGCCCACCTGGGTCGGTGTTGGAGGTTAGAACAGTGTCCTTTCTGGACGGGGGCCCACTCTAACTATCACGAGGCAACACACGCACGAACACACACAGTCATAGTACGGCTGTACAGATGACATTATGTATAAGTATTGTACAGTGGGGTATGCTATAACGAATCTAATTAGTTCTAGAACCTTGTTCGTTATAGCATTCGTTCGTTATAGGATTAATCCGTTCCAGGCCCCAAATACAACCATTTAACACTAAAAAATATAATATAAAATTGTAAAAATTGTAAAAAAGTGCATAAATATGCATCTAAACCCCTGAAATAAAGAATATCATTAATACTTGTAATAAAAAACAATAAATTAATAAAATAAAAAAAATAAAAAAAATTAAATAATGTTCGTTGTAGGAGTTTCGTTCGTTATAGCATTCTCAATTTTATAGGTAAAACCGTTCGTTATAGGAATATTCGTAGTAGGATCCGTTCGTTGTAGCATACCCCACTGTATATGGCATTTTATACTCTGCATTATCTTCATTATATATGAACACGAAGAAAAAATACCATAGGTTGTAGTTACGAAATTATGAATGGAAATAAACACTTCCAAACCACCCAGAGACTCCACACAACGTTTACAGCGCTTGTGTGTGTGTGTGTGTGTGTGTGTGTGAGTGTACTTACAGCTTCCAGAAATAATTCGTTCAAAACATGAATTATTAACACTATCAGCTGTTGAAAGTACAGTACAGTACAGTACACACACTAAAGTTCAACCTATTAAAGCGGTACAGTACAGTACTGCCTCAAGAAACATGATACCGTAGAGCTTGCATCTTCAAAAGCAAACGTGAGCTTAATTTACCTCGGAGTATCATTCAACAAAAACTTTAAATGAGTTTGTAAAATGAAACTGGCCATCACTGAAAGAAAAACAAAGTTGATAAATAATAGACTTTATCTATATTACAATACTGTGGATGTATAACCAGCCATCCAGGATGGTACCTCCCAGTTGGAAACACCAACCCTGCTTGACCTGGCCAGTGTTGACCTCACATCTTGGAGTCCAGAACATAACCATGACACTAAGTATTTACTGTACTGTACAGTGAAGGGATTAATACTTGATGTAAGGAGAAACATGATCAAATACAACTATATATTTCCTTTATGTGTTCTTCATTATTACTGCTTAAAGATGCATTCTACTGTTCTTCCTTTCCATACAGAATAGTATCTTTAAAATTTTTATTTCCTTACAGTATTTGTAAATTAGTTAATTATTTCCTATGTAAGGAAGTGGTCACACATTGTGGAGGTCAGTGACTCACACACTACTGTTCCTCCAAGGAGCCAAGTTCATAATGGTCTAGAGAATATTACAGTATCCATTACTGTCCAGTACTTCATGAGCACAATACCATAATACATTCTACAACTTCACTATACATATACATGTTTGGTGTATAAACTTAAGCTAATACTCTGTGGTCATTCATGCCAATAATAATTAAAAATAATAATGTAAAAGTTTCCACAATTATTTCAGAATAACACTTACATAAATTTTTACTCCATGTCTGTAAAGAGAGTTCCTCAGTAACCAATAAAGTATGTCATCTGTGGGCTGGACCTTTACAACCTGTTGTTGATAAAACTGATGATATGAGCTGAAAGTTCTTCCCCTTTGTCTTCCTGAAGGAAATGCCCAGCTCTTGTTATTGTTTTCGTGATGGCTTGAGGTAGGAGCTTTTGAAAGGTTTTATCTTGGCCTTGTGTAATAGGATCACGGTCAGAGAACATTATCAAGACTGGCCGTTTCCACTCTTTAGACAAGAAGTTACGAGTGTCTTGCATGTCAACAGCGACTGGTGTGTGAGAGGTTATGGGAACTAAAAGTGGCCATCTGGCAGCTCCAGCTTTGTATAGTGGTGATGGAAAAGGTGCATTGTAGCCATCCAGGACAGCAGGATGGGGGTTAAGTAATGCTGTCTTAAACAAGAGATATACGGGCATGGATGTTCCAAGAAGCTCAGCAAAACTACGCCACAGCAGGAAGGGCATTATTCTAGTGATGTTGTAGATGGAAAATTCAGTACCTGCTGGCAGACCAGTGTTCATAATGACCAATCTGCTGAAGAAATGTGGAGAATCTTTCACCACCGAGAGACCAATCAAACCACCCCAGTCCTGACACACAAGAGTGACACCACTCACACCTAGATGATCTAACAATAACCTTAAAGTTTGTGTGTGAAGATCATGACTATAAGCTTCAGGGAAAGTAAATTTGTCAGATTTACCGAACCCAATAAAGTCTGGGGCGATGACACGATAACCAGCCTTGACTAGTCCAGGGATCATGTACCGGTAGAGGAAGGACCAGCTTGGTTCGCCGTGGAGACATAACATCGTTTCTTTAGCTTCACGAGGGCCTGAAGATAAAACATATTCGTTACAGTACTGTACAGGGCATCCCCGGGTTACGAACGGGTTCCGTTCCCGAGGACGTTCTTAAGTCGGATTTGTATGTAAGTTGGAACACATGCTATGTGCATACTGTACTTACAGAACAATGTTTAAAATCCCACTATATCATAGCCTAAGTCCTTATTTAAAATTACTTAATTTATGACAAAAGAAGAAATAGAATGACAAAATACAGTAAATGAAAGGAAAAAATAAGTTTGTATCGGCGGGCGTTCGTAAGCAGAGGCAGGAAAAATATGAAGTAGTTCGCAGTCATATTTCCAGCCTCTGCTGACGGCCGTGTAATATTTCAATTTGATTCTGATTTTTAAAATGTTGTTTTTGCATAATGTACTATTACTGATATGTAATTTGTTTTAGTATGTCTTACTGTAGGTAAAAATAAGTATACCCCCCTGTATATTAAATGCATCCTTCGAAAGCGTCAATTTGCTACCCGAGTTTATCAGTTAATTCACGTATAATACTTGTGATAAACTTCCTACATATTTATGTTTGAAGCAATGAAGGTATATATCTTTATATAATTTAGCTAAATATCTTTCTCATCAGAAACAGTCATCCCAACGATTATGAATAAACTCATTTAGAAATACATCATTACTTCAGGACAAATCGGAGGGGGCGGGGCATCTTTTCTCAGCTGGGGAAAAATGCACTATAGTGTGGTGACTATATACTTGAAGTGTGGAGTTAAGCTGTGAAGACATTACCCTGTTAATAGTGTTGAGCAGAATAAGTTGTTTATTAAAGAAGACTACAGTGCACAAGTGACCTGGTGGAAGTCTACCTGCCTGTTTGTCTGTACTGTACACTGATACTGATCGTCGGGAAATTACTGGAGACTGACGGGACAGCCAGTGGTAACTCGACAACTCTTGTGAGATAATCTACTGCTTCTGTACATACGACCCAAGCTGCTGGTATTCAGTGGAAGCTGGGTAAGCGGTGAAAGGAGCAGGGTTATAACAGTACTATGATAAACAAACAAACAACAACCACCATCATAAACAACTAAAGTACTATAACAAACCTTCATCCACATAGTGAACTCTTGGAAGGGTTCGTCCTCCGCCAACTGGTAAGTCAACATAGTTAGGCTTAAAGGTATAACCGACAGCTTCAAGACCCCGGAATCGCTCTTCGGGCGTCCTGACAACATGGGGTTCCTTTCTCTGGATGACAAAAGAGGCAAAGCTTGTTAACACTTGCTTCACAAAGCTAAGAATTTGGAGGGTGGCAATGATGGATGGGAAGAGCACCAGATGCTTGAAGTATCTCTTGACTGTTCTCATTGTGTAGTTAAAGAATCACCTCTGAAAATATTTCAACAACATTAGTGTGGATTACTGAACTATTTCCGTGACATTAATAGTAAAAGTTTAAAATGATGCTCTACACCTCTAAAATGATAATTAATCTAATTCAACTTGGCAAATTTCCTCTTTCACTGTACAATACTGTATACTTCATAATATCTGCACTCATTAACTCATTCAAATAACCCTGTACTGTACTGTATTTACACTTCAGAGATCTTTGTAATATTATCAACCAACTACTGCACCAGTACAGTACAATACAGCACAGTATAGTACAGTACAGCAAAGTATAGTACAGTATAGTACACTGCGGTGTAGTGCAGTACAGTACAGCACAGTATGCTGAATCTATAAAAGCACTATACAGTACAGTAGACCTCTTCTCTGGTAAGTAATTCAATTACAGTACAGTATGTAAACTTTTCCTCAGGTTACTTATTCATTTCCTTTAAACATTCGCCCTACAAGGGGTCACAGCTCAAGGTTGAAGAAGCCACACGTCAAGAAAACTGCGAGGGCAAATTTTTTCGCAGAATTGTGAACTCTTGGAACAATCTGCCGGAGAGTGTTGTGACGGCACCGAGAGTGAGCTGTTTCAAGACCAGACTTGACCAACACTGAAGCAGGTTCAGATACATTCAGGAGCTAGTGCATGCCCAGTACTTGCCAACAGTGACATGACCGACCACCCAAGCTGCTAACGAGCCAATCAGTGGCGAAGAGAATAAAAGTAAAGGTAAGAGTAACAACTGTTATTCATAATCATAAGGAACTTCAACACATGTGGACTGTACAGCTTTACTACAATAATAAATACCACATTGATGACATACAAGAACAATGGTTGCTTCTGTCTACTGTTTACCCTAATTTCACTACAGTATGTTATTATAGGTGAAGGTAGAATCACTCAGTTGTTCTGTCATAGTCCTAATCTTTCATTCTGAAGATGACAGTGAGTACAGTACAGTATGCACATTATTATAACAACAACCACTGCACCTTTAGAGTGAAGTAAGTATTGTACTGTACAGTACCTTGGCAGATTGTCCTTCCTCAGCAATGAACTGCTGCTGCACAATACTGTAAGACTGCACAATCGTCCTTAGCACAAATTTCTTACTTTAAGTTGTTGTAATGTGGAGATAATGAAAGCCTTATCTATGATAAGGAGTGCCTGTCTCAGTAGCATCTCTACCAAGGTCACCCAGCTAAAACAAGTACAGTGGTTGCCTCTAAGTGTACCGGTATGTAATGGTCTACAGCCACTGTACCCATCATGTTATAGATGTCACTAAAATATGTAGGCTGTCACAGTTACAAGGTGTTATAATTTATCATGAACTAATCCTTGAAGTACAATACTTGTCTAATATTGTAAATAAGCATTATAGTTACTATATGTCACACACATTTTATGAGTTTCTGCTCAACACTTGTCACAAGAGAATAATAATACTGTACTGTACTTATGGGTTGGTAACTAAAATAAAGAGTAAAAAAGATTTCATGAGTCTCACCTACTTGTATCCCCATCCATGAAGTTGTGTAGTGGGGGATGTATGTACAGTAAATGGTCTTTGATTTGATTTGATTTTAATTCATTGGGTAAAAATTCCTACAATAAATACATAAATACCTGTACACTGTATAAATATTTACCAAGATCACCCTGTACAACTTTCAGTAGAAACATGTTCTTGAGTGAACGTGGATCAAGGCAACTGATACCTTATGTTGTATAAATTTCTAAACATTTATGTTATAATATTAAACAGAGATTAGAACACCTGTAATGCCTGGCTACAGTAATTATTCGTTTTAGCACACCCTCAAAATTTTTTACTAGATGTTTGATTTCTGAACATCTTCTACGAAACAATCTTGTAAAGGATTGCCAACACGGTTTTATGCTGGGGTGGACCTGTTTAACACAATTGCTCAAGGTACTGGATATTTGGACCCAAATTCTGGAACGGGGTGGTAATATCGACAATATATACCTAAATTTTGCCAAGGGTTTCGACAGCGTACCCCATGAAAGGCTGAAAATCAAACTAAATGGGTACGGAATTCGGGGAAATGTCTTAGTGTGGATAGAATACTTTCTACATGACCGCAAGCAGTGTGTGGTGATTAATTGCACGAAATCATCATCTGTACCTGTCACAAGCGGGATACCACAGGGCAGTGTATTGGGCCTGCTGTTGTTTGTTTGTTTCATAAATGACATGCCTGACGTTGTACACTCCTCCATACAAATTTTTGCCGATGACGCCAAGTTATTTCTGGAAATTGAGAACCAAGCGGACTGTGAAGAGCTGCAGAAGGATCTCTGTGGGCTCCAAGAATGGTCAAAGAAATGGCCGCTGAGATTCAATGTCACGAAGTGTAAGAGGATGCACCTGGAGCGTACCAACGGTAAGGAGGCGTATCATATGTCCTAACGGGATGAAGAAACTGCACTATTTGAGACTGAATGTGAGAAGGACCTAGGTGTGTACGTTGACAATGAGCTGAAGTTCTCGGGCCATTGCGAGAAGAAGGCAAATCAGGCAAATAAATTATTGGGTATTATAAGAAGATCGTTCAGATATCTAGACGGTCCGTCCCTCGTAACGATCTTCAAGAGTGAAGTGCTTCCCTATCTGGAGTACTGTCACCCCGTCTGGTCCCCGAGATGTGCTAGGGACTGTCAGTTGGTTGAAAATATTCAAAGGAGGGCCACCAGACTGGTGCCTGCCCTTCGGCACCTCAGCTACACTGAGAGTTTGGAGCGCCTGAACTTGCCTAGCTTATACAGCAGACGGGCAAGGGGCGACCTAATTGAGGTGTATAAGCATCTCAGGGGGCACTACTCAGTCGAGCGTCCTTACTTGGAGCTGGCGGACACTCACCCCACAAAGGGTCACAGCTCAAGATTGAAGAAGCTGCAAGCCCAGAAAACTGTGAGGGCAGACTTTTTCGGAGTGAGAGTTGTGAACTCTTGGAACAATCTGCCAGAGAGTGTTGTGACGGCACCGAGTGTGATCTCTTTCAAGACAAGACTTGACCAACACTGGAGCAGGTTCAGATATATTCAGGAGCCGGTGCATGCCCAGTACTTGCCAACAGTGCGTAACAGAGACATGACCGATCGCCCAAGCGGTTAACTAGCCGATCAGTGGTGAAGAGGATAAAAGTACAAAAATAGTAAAAGTAAAAGTTGATAAAAAATGGCTATTTACCATAAAAAACGAGGGTGAGATCTGAACAAAATACATCAGAAACCAAACATCTAGACCCCTAACTTTCACTAAATTAACCTACCTTAACTTAACCCCCCCAAGGGGCCATAACAGCCTGTGATGGGACAACAAATGGCAGGTGGAGATTTATTGATCTAATTTCTACTTGTGCGATTTTTCTGTTAAAAAAATAAAACACGTTTCCAAGAGGCTAAGGTGTTGAGGAATGTATATATGAGGTAGAAATTGCCTAAAAGTAAGTGCTTCTATGCGATTTGAAGATGTGCTAAACCAAATAATAACCCTAGCTAATACTGTATAGGTGGGCAAGGAGTGACTTAATAGACATTTATGAGCATCTGAGGGCAATACTCAGTCTAGTGTTCATACCTGGAGCTGGTGGATATCCGCCCCACTGGAGGTCACAACTTAAAGCTGAAGAAGTCACAATTTCAGAAAATTATTAGGGAAACTTTTTTAGAATGAAAGTTGTGAACTGTTGAAACAATCTGCCAGAGAGTTGTTGTAAGTGCGAGCTCTTGAGTCTTGACTGACAAATCAACAATTTTTTTTTTGTTTCATATTCGCCACTTATCAGTTTATTAGCTATTGGACGCTCTATCCAATGTTAGTATAGGAGGAAACCGAGAAACCTGTGGTGTTTGGTCGTGAGGGGCACACTGGATAACACCCTTCTCACCTGTGTCCTGGCCGAGGCTCGAACCCTTGACACATGAGTGAGAGTTACCTCGTTACAGTGAGTAAAAGTAAAGTAGGTGTTTCAGTACATTTTTACAAGTGGGCAACCATGGATATTTTGTTGAGCAATGTGATTTTCTGATGTTTTAGACAATTTTAAGACACATTTCCCTCGCAAATGACCTAAAAATACCTAACCTAACCTCATAACCGCCCCCTGGATCCCCTGGTATATTTAAGTAATTTGCGAGAGAAATGTTACAGAAGAAATATTAATAATAATAACAATAATAATATATATATATTATGAGCAATATCATAAAATAATATTAATAATAGTATGAGCAATAACAATTATAGAGACGATGACTGAGACCACTCCACTGCCGGTCCCTCAGTCATCGGTCTTTCACAGCCGCTGAGGTGAGTGGGGCGGACGTGCTGCTGAGGTCTTCTCCTATATGATCATTTGTAATGTTAAAACGGTGTCTAAGAACTTCTAAATCCAGTAAGATCTTTGCCTAAGGTGCGTAAATACCTCACTGTTAATGTGTGCGGCGGAGAAGTGATAAAATAATGTGGATGTTAATAGATAAATATGGGTGAGGTTGAGGGAGCGGGTGTGTTCATTTTAAAGTGTTCAACTTATTATCATGGAACAACTGGATTGTGTCGCCATAGGTACTTAATCCCTTACTTTTAATTCTAATGATCAAGTTTGGGTCAATTTATGATAATATTGCAGTAAACGGAATTTGGAAATTCTTTTGGTTGTTGTAATCGTCAATTTGTTACCGTGTAGACTCATGCTGTCAACGAGTCTACCAAACACACTGCTTTTCCACCATAATTTTTAATTGCTAGTGACTTCTCTTCTGGGCACGTGTTGCTTTTTTTATATAATTTATACCATACTGTAATACCATGGGAGGAGTGCGCTGGTCGTCTGAATTGGGGTCCGACTAACTACCCAAATATAGCCGGAATGAAGTCAAATAATGGTCCTACATGAATAAATCGGACTGTGAATCACTTCTCGATTATTATTTGGTGTCATAAAGTCACAACTAATTGGAAAACTTACTTTAATCTGAGTTAATAGATCAAGTGCATTGTCAAAAATAATGATTGCAACTATAAGATTCCTGAGATTCGTTTAGTGACAAGTGAAATAATACCCATATTTTAGTTTTGGTCATTGGGTGAATCTTAGGAATTTAGGTTAGGTTACATATAGTTCCGGTAAGTGATAAATATTTGTTCATCGGCTGTCCTCGGGTTGGTGTTTCACTTGTTGCCGCAAATTACGTTGAAGTGAGATATTTAACATTTTATGATGTATGTTAGTCTATGGTGGTACACTGAACGATTGTGGAGCTCCTGTTAGGTCAGGTCAGGTCAGGTTAGATTTTTGTTTTTTCCCGGTGGTTTCCGATGTGTTTTGAACACTTTACCTAGTTTGATTTAGGCTTGAACAACATTTTATAATTCCTTGGTCAGTCATATTAAATATTAAAATCGATGTCCAGTAGTTTGGGGGAGATGATTGATTAATATTGGCTATGGATATTTGTCCTGTTGTTGGTTAGGTTAGGTTTTTTAAACTAACACCAGAAGTATTTGGAACTTGTTTAAATGTCATTTATAATCTGCTAAATAGATAAATGGAAACAAGAATGCACAGAACCTTTAGAACTTGACCTAACCTAAAGTAACCTACATAACTTACCAGAAAAACCTTCTAAAACAGACCTAACAGCACTGAACAGATTCTTGTTTACATAATGAATTGTTATTAATGTTTCCACAAAGTTTCATCTAATTCTATCAACTCCTTTTGGTGTTGGTCATAATAAAGCCTACCTAACAGACAACCGGATAAATATCCAAAGCAATTAATTTATTTACAGTAAATATTCTTCCATTCATTGTTCCCGTAAACTGTAAATCCAGATTTTTCAACGTGTAACAAACACTGTAGGATATCAATAAGGTTTAAATACCATAGATACTGTGGTATCTACAGTGTGTGTGTATATATATATATATATATATATATATATATATATATATATATATATATATATATATATATATATATAAATAAAATGTACTGTAGGTTGTTTTATTTCATGTAATAAAATTGTCATTGTCAGATGGTGAACCACAGAGTTCAGCTGGTGCAGAGCAAAAGGTACTCCACCCCTAGGAGGCCCTTTGAGAAACCCAGGCTTGACCAGGAGTTAAAGGTACAGTACTCTACAGATTAGTTTACTATCAGGAGGGGTAAAATGCATGGTTCCTAATATGAATTATCCTATACTGTATAACTAAGAACTAAGAATTTTATGCCAAGGAAATTTCAAAATTGCATTATCTACAATTTAATAATTTTAATTATTCCCAATACCTGTACTGTTCATTGGTGACAAGTTTGCCATCATCCAGGTGGAAGGTACATGGGTAATAGTTAGTATGGAACAGTAAAGACAAATGAATTGGGAGATTTCATGAGCCCTATTTATAATTTTGTACTGTATGTAATATACTGTTAGAAAATTGTGTGAAAATTAAAATTCTTGATGTTTGTAGTAAACTTGTATATTTTTGTAATGCTTATGGAACTGTTTTTAGTTCTTAAATAAACTTTTGCAGCATTAAAGAAAATGAAAGTGTCAATCTGTAGACTACATTGGAGGTTGTGGAACACAAAACCTGACATTTCAAATCACTAAATTTTATATTTTAAAAATGCTGCTTATGTAGCAGTTAAAATTCACATTGAAGTCTGTGAGTTTGTAATGGTGCTTAAGGATAACAAAATTGGCGTTTTACAGTTGGTTGGTGAATATGGTCTCCGCAACAAGAGAGAATTATGGATCGTAAAGATGTTCCTCGCAAAAATCCGTAAAGCTGCCCGTGAGTTGCTGACATTGGATGAGAAGGATGCCCGTCGACTTTTCCAGGGTGGGTATGGTATACTGGACTGGGATTTTCTCCCTCCTAAAATATAGGGAGAAATGAGATGTTCTCACCAAGACTTGCAGGAGACAGTATATTTAAAACAAAGATTTGAACTGCTTGAAGTTGTGTGAAAAACAGTTGGTTGCAAACGAGTTCTAAGGTATGAAGGATTTGGGAAGGCAAGAGTTTCTGCAGAATTGGAGACTTAAAATCAATTGAAGGAGTTGAGAGTTGATAGGCTATTTGTAGTAATGGACATAGTGTTTTGATGATTCAATGTCTTATCAAATTACCTGCACAAATGACAAAATATTACATGATTATTTTCTGACACTTCTTGTCCTAATACTGAGGAAAGAATTTTTAATGAGATTTAATAATACTGTATTGGATTTGGTTCTCTTTATTATAATAGAATATTAAATCACATTTGAATTCACAGGAAATGCTCTGCTGCGTCGTCTGGTGCGAACGGGTGTTTTGGAAGAAGGGCGCATGAAACTCGATTATGTGTTGGGTCTGAAACCTGAAGATTTCCTTGAGCGACGTCTTCAGACACAGGTGTTCAAGCTGGGTCTAGCCAAGTCTATTCACCATGCCCGTGTACTCATCAAACAAGGACACATTAGGTAAAAATCTCAAGATTTTATAGGCGAGATATTGTATTGCTGCTTCATATTGCTTGAGGTGGTTGTAAAGTGAGGCTTCTTGCGTGAAAATTGCATATTTCAACATGGTGGCTACCCTCCCAGTTTAATGAAACTTTTTGCAGGTGTTGGAAATTGTTTGATGGCAAGTAATCCATTAGTATGTTGTGGTAATGCTGTGATTATCAAGGCCAATTGTGTGGGTACACCCTAGCAATGTCTTGTGTTTATTCAAAAGGCCACTTGACCAGGTATATTCTGGCTACGCCTTTCTTGCAATGGGATGAAACCAGTGACATGGCTCACTCTTGTGCCTGGACCCACAACTGTCCTGACCTGAGCTTCTGTCAAATGTGGTGAGCTGGCTCATGCCTATGGTTCAGTTTAGTAAGAATAAGTTTTTCATCCAATATTTTTGGAAGTGTAAATTGTAGGTTGCCTTGTGTACTATACAGTATATCAGTAAGAGGTCCCTCGGTTTGGATAGTACAGTATTGTTCAGTTATTAATGAATGTCTTCAGTTTTAAATCCGACTTTTTTCTGTGATATATCAAGCGTATTATTTTAACAAGCAGGTTGTATAAACCAATATAAATGAATCTTAATCTTAGAGGATTTTTGTTTCTCTACAATATGGTTGTCAACATAAAGCCAGATATTAACCTTTTAGGTTAAAGGGAAGTCAACCGGAGCATAGGGTTTAATTTTCAATACAAGTTACATCTGTCATAATTCACTTCAGTGAAACTGGTATAATTAGATTTACACAGAACCCTTGATATGGGTTCGGCTAACGCCATGACACAAATATGGATTTCCAAATTGTATCGATTTGATTGATTTTTTATCACTGAATGTAAATCCAGTCGGCATACAGTGAAATCTGTAATGGCCAGTGAGAGGGTGAAAATTATTGGATGTACAGCAGTAACACACACACCTCTCACTACTGTTTCATGGGTTCAAGTCCTGGTCCGGGTGGGACACACACGAGAAGGATACCCAGTGTGACCTCTACCAAATATTACAGGTTTCTTCAGGGTACACTGCAGTTTTCTGCTGTACTGTACTAACTCTAGACCAGGGGTTCCCAAGCATTATCCAGTGCGACCATGTCTAGTACTGTCGCCTATCCAGTGTGACCCCAAGTCATTACCTATGCTGTATATATGAGGACCTTAGAGTAAATACAGACATAGATATTCATATTTAACTATAAAAACAAGGAAATTGTATTACATAATTGAGAAGTCTAAAAGTAAACACTGGTAGAAACAGGATACAACTGTCATGTTTAATATGCGACATGTTTCTTTGGTAATTTAATGTTCTATACTCGAGGTATAATTACATGGTTCAGCAACATAACATACAATTTTCTTAGTTCCAACTGTTTCATATGTGAAGGTGTGTGCATCGGCGTATAATTAACCCCTATTCCCTGGGCTAGGGTGCCGCTGGCTGTAGCCCCCACGTGGGGTAAATCGACGAAAAAATAATTTTTAACCTTTTTAAATGATAAAACAATAAAAAAGTAAGAAAAACTATTTTGACCCTCCAGAAACTTCCCTGGGGCAGCAGTGGCAAGGGAGATAAAGGGACAGTGTTGTTTCGATGGCAAGCGCTCGTGGTCACGTACGCCCTTGCGGCCATTTCCTGCTTGCCTTTGTGTCTGGGATGGCCAGGAATGCATACATTTACTGATCGTATAGCTTATTTGCTATAATTCATTTAGAATTTATTTTATTTGCATTATTTTTCATAAAAAGAGCTCGGCGACACACTCGGTCCTGGCTGTCTTTGTGTTTAGAAGAGCAAGTAATGCATATAAATTATTATTGGAATAATTCCACAAATAAATACATTTATATCATAATCATAGCATTATTTTCCAGTAATACTAAACAACAATACAACTACACTACTTTTAACAATATTACTTTTATATAACATGATAAAATGGACAAACAATGAAAATGAAAACAAAAGTAGGTATGCGTACTTACATTCAGAAAGCTTCCCTGTGGCTGAGCGTGGGGCGTGACAGGCAAATAGTCACACTGGAACCTGATGACCTGCACTGGGCTTTCAAACAACGCCATGAAAAGGTGCGCATTCTGGAACGTCAACCGGGGCATAGGGTTTAATTTTCAATACAAGTTACATCTGTCATAATTCACATGTAAAGGGTGGGTGTATTATCATTTTTAAGAAAAATCTGTTAACTGGTATAATTGTGATTAAACACAGCACACAATTTTCTAAGTTTAAGTTTGATATGCGGTTACGGCAATAATTTTAACGCCATTGACAGGAAAGCTGTCTCAGACATAGGAGCTTCCAAATTGTATCAATCTTGATGGTTTGATTTTTTATCACCTGAATGTCAATTTGATAAACAGTCCAAAATATTGATGGCAAAATTCATCCTTGCCTCGTTGTCAGCTTGTTATTTTGAGGGGGGTCCCCCCCCCCCCCACCCTCCTCCTCCTCCTCCTTCGTTTCAGGTGACCCACGTGAGTCCCGAGGATCCGTTGAGGTGTATGACCATGACGAATTAAATGTTTAACAATAATTGATCCTTTAGGATTGATGGGTTGGTTTACAGACTGCCGCTCGAGGACGGTGAGCCAGTATACCGAATATAGTGGCCACATTCTACATGTTCGTGCATTACATCATATACTCTATTTTTCATTGGCCGAGTATTGCTTGTTTTGCTTTCGATTCTTTAGTATTTCATTGACCAAAGATCAGTGACGTCATGCAACTCCACTATTAGAAGCCTTATAATTTGCCCCTCCGCCCTATCCACTTGATCCACCCTCCCCTGCCGAGGGGCTAAGCATTTTTCAATATAACTGAGTTTCTAGTCTACACTTTCTGATCACAATTTATTCTATAACCCATGCCATATTTCATAGTTGTAGAGGCAAATCAGTAGGGCGTGTTAGTGTCCCCCAGGAGGTCGGGTTTTTAGGGCATGTGTGTGTGTCCCCTAGGAGGTGGACCCTATGATGTGTAGGAACAAAACTCTCCAGCAGTAGGTATAGAAGCATGTTAAAACAGGAAGAAAATAAGAGGAAAGTTTTGTTAGAAACAGAATCAAAGAAAACGGTGAGGAAATGGCAAAAAAATCAAGGAATAGTAGAGGCCTTCCAACAAGACAAACAGAAGTGTTTACTCTTCCTGAACAACTAGCTGATGCAAATAAAACTTGGGAATAAAACAAAGCCAAATGAGTGGATATTACATGGGAAAGCAAACTAAATATTTTGTTTGTACATACACTGAAACATGCTTATTTTAGTACTACTTAACATATACACATACATTACACATACATTTACATATTTTTCAAGCACATATGTGCATCAGTAGAAGTCATTGTAAGTGTACTGTATAATGTTTTGGCTTAAATATATGTTGTAGGCTTCTGTGTGCTGCCTTGGGAACCCAGCCACTATTTATGATATGTCTTGAAAAACTGTGTTTTGAGCTCAACAAAATTTAGAACACATTCTGTCAGTAACTGACTTTTATTGACAAGAATATGCTCAATGGATGGTTAGTCTGCTTGATGAAGCTCTTGCACTACATAGTCTCATACTAAGGGAGGTTCTGGAACAGCAGTTTGTTTGGACTAACATACTCTACAGTTGATGGCTATAAGATTATTTGTGAAGGTGTTGCTACGCTGCACGAGCACGTTTGATATTACATGTCAGATTTTAGACTTGTGAGTACTGTACAGTATTTTGCTAAAAGATTTTCTTATCCTGTAAATTTATAAACTGTACAGTACTGTATTGTATTTGACTGAATGTTAGTGAGTTTGGACCAAACAGCACCATTGTCAGTCTATACAATAATAGTTGTGGTATTAGAGTAAATGGTTTCATTTTTTCCTGTACTGTACCTACTGTAGAATTTTTAGAACATAACTCATAAATATTACCTTTTCAGAGTTCGTAAGCAAGTTGTGAATGTACCTTCATTCATTGTGCGCCTCGACTCTCAGAAACACATCGACTTCTCTCTAAAGAGTCCGTTCGGTGGTGGCCGCTACGGTCGTGTCAAGAGGAAGAACATGCGCAAGGGCGGCAGCAAGGCTGATGATGGCAGTGGTGATGACGAGTAGACTGTCAGTCCAATTGTATACAGTACTTCAATAAAGTGAAGCTCTTTAATTCATTTTTATTTAACTTTATTAAATTTTTGCTTGTGGATTTAAAATGAGGGGAGCTTGGTGGCCAAAAGGTTTACAATATGGATACATAAACTGCCAATGAATGGTGGGATGTTAGGTTTATCTGGTAACCAAGTATTTTGACAAAATAAGTGTAAAAGCTGTGGTAATGAATGTTTGTATCATAAATGTGCCAGATGCCACTTGTTCTTCCATACAAATGTTTTACAGTACGACACTAAATTACTGGACCTGGGGAAATGAAAATTCTAACAGACAAGAATTATAACATGGTTGACTTCAGGTCTTTGAACAAAGGCTTACCATAATTTTTTACACCCAAACCAGGACAAGGATTAATTTAGTGAGGCTATGGTATTATACTACTTACTGTATATTTGCCCTTTACTTTTACTTTTTGCATGGGAAAAAAAATGGGGAACGTAATGGAAAATATCAGCAAAACCTAAATTCCTGTTTCATTGATAATTTTTTTTTACAAGTTACAAATAATATAATTTACAAAGAAAACACAAATTGCATTCTTTCTGCAATATACCCAGTGTAGTCTTGTTTGACCACCCATACTTATCACTAAGTAGTACTGTACTTTCTTTACCATTTTTCTGCAATATACTGTGTTGTTTGACCAGCCATCTGTCGTCCCGCTTAAAGTTAAGGTATTACGTTGCTAAACTTCAGACGAAAAAATAGTTTAATGTCCAGTTGACTCGGTACAACGCTGTTTGAGTCATCACGGACTACTTTTTACCTTTTTCACAATGTATATAGGTTGGTGTGTGCATGTAAATGAGTAAAAGTAAATGAAGAAAGTTACTTTATCTCCTGAAAAATAAGTTGAGAAATGTGTACATTACTTGAATGTACATCTCGTGCAAAATATATGATTTATATACTGTATTCATATTCGCTGTCTTACAAGGATTCCAGCAATGTAATTTATATTATAACTTTAGTTGATAATTTATAAGATCAAAACTTTAAGCCTAAAACCACCTTCAATCTTGAGGGAGATGATGTATTATGACAGCAGCAGGAAAGGTTACCTAGTGTGTGTTTTATCAGTCATACAGAGGGAGTTGTATTATGACAGCAGCACGGAAGGTTACCTAGTGTGTGTTTTATCAGTCATACAGGGAGTTTAAGCTTACAAAATGTCAATGAATGTGATTATAGTAATGCATACAAGCACCTCACCAGGCATCACACAAGGAGCTTTGAATTTATGTACAGTATATGTATTGTATTTCATGGGGCAAAGGGTGGCTCAGGAACGTAACTCCCATAATTATTTTATCTTTCTTAGTGGAAAATTGATCTGCTTAATGTTTCGTATAACGGCGCGTTTTCAGGTACGTAACCCTGACATTATGCGATGACTTACTGTACTTTCTTTACCATATTTCTGACAAAACTGAGCAAGTTTAAATAATATTCCTTCTACTTTTGACTTTCTACAAGGAAAAAATTTTCAGGAACAGCATAATGAAAAATTTCAGCTAAATTCCTTTGTTTCAAACATCATAAAGAAAAATTACAATAAGTTGTAAATCATATACAATGCTCCCTCGATTAATGAACGGTCCAATTAACCAAATTTCCGTAAGGATTTTCAATTGCATTGGCGAACACTACTTCGATTAATGAAAGCCTTACGAGAGAAACACTTTGTTGTGCGCATCAGCTGATCGGCTAGTCCGCCAATACAGTACAGTAATTGGTTCTGTTTACATTCGTTTCCAGTGGAATAAATATCAAGAAAGTTGTGCTCTTGAATATTTTTGCATTTATTATACAGTCAACCCTCGCTTTACGCGGTCCCACATTCCGCGTTTACGCGGTACCCTACCGAAACAGGAATGCTCACATTCCGCGGTGCGTGTACCCCTTTACGCGGAGAGCGGCTGGCGAGCCGCGCCATTTTTGGATCCAAACCTCCCGCCATGTAAGCGGCACTAGCATGGTACGCACAAGGTCGCCCAGTCATCAAAACATTGCCGAGTTCTTCACCCGCCACCCACCACAGCCGGCCCAAGTCAGTGATAGTGATAATTATAGTGAGGATATGGACTTTGAGGGGTTTGACAAAGAGGCCCTGCAAGCCTCTGTGGTGGATAGTGATACAATTGATACAAGTTATATAGGTGAGGGCCAATAATCTGCCCTCTGCCTCGGAACCAACCCCCCATCCCCATGTGCCCAGCCTTCTTTTCTACTAATGTAAGTGTTAAAAAACCTAATATTATTGATATTTCTCTTAATTATTAATTGTGTGTGCATACCATCATAAAGTTAAGATAATATTTTTACTACAACATAGTTGTATGTCGTCAAAAAGTGGAGTTTGGGGGTCGGCCTGGTCTCTATTTCAATTAATCCCATATGTTATGTTGTTCACTTTACGCGTTTCTCACTTTCCGTGGTACCCTGTGGGTTGAATTAACAGCGTAAAGTGAGGGTTGACTGTATTAAAATTATTGGTCATTCTAATTTAGTTGACATATTGATAACATATAGTTTTTGTGTACCAATCAGCTGATCGAATCACCCACCAACTCTTCTCAGTTTAACTTTGTTTACAGTGGAGTGAACATCCAGTTTGTTGGTCTCTTGAATATTTTTGCATTTTTACATTAAAATTATTGGTCATTCTGAAATTTAGTTACATATTGATAATATACAGTGCAGAAATTATTATGAAACATGAAGAAGGCATTTGAACCAATGCACTCTGTAAAGAATATGGCATGTCATCATCGACTGCCTCTACAATCAGCTGTGATGTAAACAAAGCTGCCGGGAATGCGACATGCACACCTCAAAGTAAGTTAAAATACAGTTTCCTATTGTTTTTTATTTATTACTGCACAGTATACTGTACAGTACAGTACAGTACTGTATTTAGTTTATATTTAATGTTTTGTTAATTCTATTACCAGTATACAATACTTTGTATGTACTTTTTATGTGAGTTGGAACCAATTACCCAATATCCCATTGAAATAATATTCAGTTAATTAAATTTTCGGTTAACGAACTACTGTGGAACCAATTGTGTTCGTTAATCGAGGGACTACTGTATACACAAATACTATATTACACAATGTACTCTTTTTCCTTTGTCTTTGACCATCCATACTTCTCACTCGATACTGTATTACTTTCTTATTTTGTCATAAAACTGTGAGCAAGTTAAATCAATATTAACTGCATGAAAGTAAGACTTTAACAGTACTCTGCCATGAGGCTACGGCCTTGGAACCAAATATTGTTCATAATTGAGAAGACTCTTTCTACAGGGGCTGATGTTCCAGGCAAACAAAAGACAAATTTAATGACATGCATGAGATTAGGAACATAAAAGTTCTTTTCACTGAAGTGTTTAAACATCTGAACCCATTTTGCTTCACAGTTAGTCCCTGCATTTCCCATTCTTTCTTCCTGCCACAGTCATTTAGGAATTTCTTTACAAATATGACTTCATCAAAAAGACTGTAATTGTCTATTATAGCCTTTCCATATTTATTATTGATGCAGCTGCTGTGTTCTCAATTTCTGGCCAGGTTACTTCTCCAGTAACCCAAGTGTGAGATACCATTCAAGGGTTTAATTAACGGGAGAAGTTGTAAAAAAAACTGGACGCGTGAGAAGGAATACAACGTAGACACAGAGGAAGGGTGGCGAGGGGAGTAGGTTAGGGAGGACCCTGGGCTTTTATCTATCTACCTACTTTCTCTCTCTCTCACCCGGGACAAGAGCTCAAGATCGGGACTGTCCTGGCTAATCCGGGACGTATGGTAGGCCTACTAATATATGATGCTGGAATTATAGTAATTACAGTATGGTACAGTAATGCAAAAATAGAATACAGTACTGTACTTTACTGTACAATACATAGGTCATTAGGATACAAAAAGAACATACCAAAGCAAACCTTTTTACTGTATACCGGTATTCTCTTGCACAAATACTGTAGCTCAACACATAACATGAAAATTGGTAAAAAATGTAGCCTATTCACACAAGTTTTATCACGTTTACTTATGACTAGCACTTTCCCTGTGTGGCTGGGCAGTCAGAGGCTCTACAACACAATGGGAAATACAAAATAGTCGCTAGAGTTTGTACCACACATAAAGGGGCACATGTAGTCTGCTAGGGATTGAAGATGCCAAAATTAGTGTCATCTTAAAATATTGAATACCTTTTACTTTGTGATTATATATCGGTCCATATACCACGCGGACTAACATACACAAACAATACCTCACTAGTCGGAAATCGAACCCTAGACCTCTGCGTGTGAGGTATTGTTTGTACAGTAAACCCTCAATATCTCTGCAACATGGGGCTCTGGCCTTGCCGCGTTATCCCAAATTCCAACTTATCGAGGCACCCCGTCCTGCGAAAATACTGTTATATTAGTGATATTCTATTCATACTGTGCTCGATATAATACATTAACGGAAATGTAAAATTTTTGCTGAAATGACGTACGTATTACAGTGAAAAGTGGGATAAAATTGTGACGAAAGCAATGACTTTCGCTTTCTTTCGTTCAAAAGATGTTATCACTTTTCGAATGGTTTTCAGTTAAAAAGCTGTATTACAATAATATTCCCTCCTAACTGACTTGAATAAATACTTGAATGGAAATATTTTTGTTGAAACTACCCGAGTTTCAGTGTAAAGTGTCATAATAATAAATGGTAAACAATTTGCCTTCGGTACTCGGTGTTTCAGGCACGGCGAGCCTCAGTTTATAGGATGTAGAGCATTTTTACTGAAGGTTTTGTTGTTCCAGTACCCTCAAAAACTTGGGTCGACCTATAAACAAGGAATATCATAAATTAACGATTTTTTGGTAAAAAAATCAGGGTCGACCTACATTGCTGATGTCAACACAAGCGTGGTTACAGCGAGACTGACTGAGTGAGGGTGCGCGGGGGTGGCGTGACGCGCGATGCGTGTGTGTGCGTGGGGTGGCGGGCGGTGTGCAGTGCCGCGCGCGATTTGAATGTACTTCAATTACTTCAATGTACAGAATATTCCTCCGGCGGGGCAATCCGCGTATTTGCAAATCCGTGTATGCTAAACCCGCGTATGTTAAGGGCCGACTGTATTTCAATGAATCTTGAGTTACTATCTACAGTACATTACTAACTGTCTAAGAGACAACTCTGGTTATTATGTATGGGTATGGCATCCATTACCAGGCAGCCCAGTACAGTATTTGAAATGTTCCAAAAACCAGTTACGTTTTGGAATGAATTATTGAAAATGAGCAGCAATTAATTCCTGGGTCGACGCTTTGTTTTCATTGTGCTGCCAACAGTTAAACCAGCAATGTTAAATTTTTAACAGTTTGGTTCTAGCATACATTTCCAGGGCCTTTGTCAGCCCTGGTTATACTGTAGACCTCTGGACATTACAATACAGTACAGTACTTTATATCAAAAAGGCCTACAGGTAGACCCTCAGATGGTGCATACACCAAGAGAAAGTGTGTTATTTAGTACAGTATAAGGGAGAAGGTGGAGTTAGTACAGCATACAGATAAAGGTGAGGTGCCTTGGTAAACTCCTTGTGTGATGAATATCATGTTGGTTCATTGTGATTTTAAGGAACCAAAATAAACTGTTGAAATTCTGCAGTACTGTAATAGTGATGCATCCAAGTTAATAGCAGCTAGGAAAACACTCCACCAAGCAAAGAATGTTTCTACAAACAAAGTGTTAATGGAATGGATCTGACAGCATTGCAGTGAGACTATTGGAGTACATTTTAGGTCTGGTGCTCAAAGTTACGGACAAATCGCCTATCCGGAACATCCCCCGGGTCCCAAGCATGCCAGATAAATGGTCCTATACCTGTATCTTTAAGTGACTACATGCTGTGTGTTGTACCTAGGTTTATAACTTATATCAAGCCTAGTATGGCCTACTGTATTATATCAACTAAACAGTTTCTTTAGAGATCTTCAGCATTGAGTGACTGTGGTCAAACTTTCATCTCACATAAAAAATCATAGTTTTCCTACCATTCCTCAAAACATTTTAGGTACCTCTTCTTTAGTAATTGCCTTCACATTATTTTTAATATCCTCAATGATGCTAAGAATCCCAAGGCGACTTATCATACCTTGAGCAGACAACACTCATCTGGACGTACGGTCACCCATGACAGTCCTGTCGCCTCTCCTGAACCACGAACCCTGAGATTCATTCTTGAACCCAAAGCAGTAGACACTGATACATTATTCTGTCCATATATGCTTAGGATTAATGAGTCTGAATCTCGGGGTTCGTGGTTCAGGAGAAGAGACGACAGGACTTTCGTCAGTGACCACAAGTTCAAATATGTGCTAAGAAATCAATCACTTTAAAGCATTTACCCACACTGAAAAAGACAATTAACATGAAGTGACGGCTTCTTCTTAACCTAAACCAAATTTGATTTACAAAGCTACAATGATCATGTCAAGTTGTATAGTCACACACTAAACTGTGCACTTCAATAACCTTTATGCAGTACAATATTTACAATCCACCTATACTTTGAGAAAATTGTTAAACATTAAAATTACAAAGACAAAGTCCAATATTTTATTGACTGACTGACTAGTACTTACTTTGAAGTTGAATCTGTTGTCCTCTGGCACCTTTCAATATTATATAAAAGGTACAGTACTGTGCTGTGTATGATGTGACATTTTACACATCTAATTTGGGTTATGTCTTCAATAAGAAATCATAGTACAATAAGTGCCATTTATTTTGTTACTTGTGAGATTAGTGTCTTAACCGACCTTCTATAACATTACATTATAAAAAGTGCTTAAAGTAGCTAACTGATAGTATTTGTTGTTGTTTTAAAGTCTGAAAACTCACTGAAAATGTTAGCTATTTTTCTGCACTATTGATACCTCTCAATGTCTAATGTATCTAACAGGTCCTTGGCACTTAAACTGAAGTCTGATTTTTTCCATTCTTCCAATAAGTCATTCAAGACAAATTTTGTTTTCTTCCTGGGAATACCTTTCTCTCCAATCATATTTCCATTTACTGGGAACCTTGGTAAGTTCCAGTCTTGTAATGCATTCCGATATTCTATTCTACAAGTATATTTCAAAATTTCACTCACATAAAACAAAGCAACGTCTTTATTCCTCTTCTCACCTATTACGAGATCTACCAAGAGGTCTTTTATTTCCTTGAGAGAAGTTGCTTGCATCGCAAAATCTCTGTACTTAATGATATGAAGTAAGATCTCTTGTTCTCTCTTAGAGCACTTAATCCTTGCTATCAACTTGATGCATTCTTCTTCACTTGACAATCCTGAAGCCAACAAAGTCATGTGATGCATTTCTTTCACCTGTATATTTGCCTCCTCACATCTCTTATACACACATCTAACATTATCACAGTCTAAGTTTTCTGGGAAGCCAATATAAGGATTTAAACCACACTCCACCATTTTGATAAGCAGATCACCCCCATAGTTCCCTGTGATTATTTTCTGCAGTTCTACCCATATTCTCTCTCCAGAAATCTTACCAAGACCTTCTACATTTTTCTTGATGCTTTCCAACACTTCTGGACTGTGGTTATCGGGACCTTCTGCAATACGACCGTAAAAACGAAAGTAACGTAATATCCGCAGATAATCTTCCTTGATGCGTTTATCTGCATCACCGACAAAAGTAACAAACCTATCTTGAAGATGTTTGCTTCCATTAAAATAGTCATAAACGGTCCCATCAAGACCGAGAAACATTGCATTGATGGTGAGATCACGTCTGTTGGCATCTAACTCCCAATCTTGGGTAAACTGAACTGTTGCGTGCCTACCATCAGTCACCAGGTCAATTCTCAAGGTCGTACACTCGTAGTTTTCGTCCTCCAAACGTACGGTCACGGTTCCGTGTTTTTCTCCACCGGCATTTATCATCCTGACTCCTTCTGTCTCAAAGATTGACTTCATTTGTTCTGGAGTTGCTGTTGTGGCAAAGTCTAGATCATGAGGCACTTTACCCAAGAGTAAGTCCCTCACTGCTCCACCTGCTATTCTCACCTCATATCCATGCTCACTGAACATACCCGCTAATTTTTTCACTCCCGGACGAAGGACCGCAGCCATGCGACTTTCTTCAATTTTCATTGTGTGCAGGTGCTGCAAAATAAAAGGTAATAATAACTTATTGAACAGAATTTTCATTTTCAATATGTGTAGCATCTATATTCTAGGGTCTTCTTTTAATGCAAGTAAAATGAACTAAAGAAACCCAACATAACTAACATAACTAGTGTATAGTACAGTACTGCACTCTATAAGGTATGTTACTGCACATAATAGTCTGACAGCTAGTATTTATAAGATTTTTAGGATATGCTTCTATTTATTTTGATTACCACAGGCAGTAGTGAGCCAGCCAAGAGAACACCTACATACTGTACTGTATAATGTTCAGTTATTACCACAGGCAGTAGTACAGCTCCCTAAAAAATTAATTATAAGAAATTTATTGTGCACATTTAAATACTGTTAAGGAGAGTGTCCGGCTCAAAATACAATGAAATTCGGAAAATTACAAAAATAGTCAGAAAAAATTCCCAAAGAAAGCCTATGGCTATGCATGATTGCTCTACCCCCCCCCCCCCTCCCTTCATTTGGAGGGCCCTTCTGTTTATGTAGCAAAAGCTGTAGAAAAGTATTTATAATAATATTTTGGTGTAAAGTAATACCAATTACTTGGTAAAAATCAGTATCTGGCACCTCCCTCAGCGAGCTAGCAGCAAGACGAGAGTCTGAGCTGCTTGTAGGCCTCAGTTACCCATGAAAGAAGCGATAGTGAGGTTCGACCGTGTGTTGCTCTTGCGTCACCCTATCGGCCCGTATCTCAAAACGAGTTTTTCTAACCTTCAAATCCCTAAGGCTGACCCATTTATGAACCAATTCTAATAAAACAAAAACTAAGTAGTAAAATAATATATTGTGCATGGCAGAACATATAGATTTTCTTTATATTTGGCTTGGTTTATTATTTGCTGATTTATCTTTATAAATATTTTGAGGGAAAATGGTAAGTTAGGAAAAAAATTCATGCACTGAAAAGAAAAGCGATAACCAGAAATATCTATATGTCAAGTTCAAGAGGAGTGCATTACCCATACTCCACATAAATTTAAACGTAATATAGCAAGAAATTATGGAGAAGTAGGATTTTGAAAATTGATAAGAATATAAGGGAGAACCAGGTATTAGGGATTAGGTAGAACTGATACTAATGAATTTTGTGCTTCAGCCAGACGCTCCCCTAAAAGGTTTGTAAGATATACTGTAATGTGCTGTATTTATTATTGGGGTACAGTACAGTATAGCTGTACAGTACTCTACTTCCGTTATTTTTTTTCTTAATTTTTACTGTTCAGTATCAAAAATAAAGTTAGACTTACGAACAAGCCTCAGGAACAGAACTCGTTTCTCAGTAGAATGCCATAATGATTTTCTTTTGTTATATTGCTACTTATTACGTGAGCATAAACAAGGAGAAATTAGAAAATCAGGCAAGTGCTTATGTGAATGTGCTGGTGGAGAAAGTTACTGTAGTGGTAATGGTTACTTTTCAGTCAGTCAATTTGACCAAGGACAGCTGACTCCCTCAGAACACAAGGGGGTATTCTGTCCAGTCCATGCGCCTTACTCACATCCAACCCTGCGAGTGGAGATTATAGGAAAGTGCATAGGTTCAGTAGGAGGAGCAGGGGTAGGAGGGATAGAGTGGGAATCGTCTAAGGTGCCAAAGAGATTGGCTTTGTCAGGGGGAGAGTTGGCTACAGAGTTATCAGGTCAGAAGAGAGGAGGAAAAGAGGGAGTGCAGAAGTTGTTAAAAATGTTTTTGGTTAAGGACGAGAAGGATTTACTAGTGGAAGAATTAGTCAGGACAGAATAGCCTTACAACAATTCCTAGAAGTAATGAAAGAGGAGTGGGTAATAGGAGAAGGAGATAGCTTGATATGCCCTATCTCTCTCCCTACATGTAAGAGAACAGGAGCGATCAAACCATGATTGTAAAGTGAAAGTTTTGGTAGAAGATGAGATACATGCACTCATACCACCCTGTATAACCCCAGCAATGCTGTCAGCACATACCGAGGCGTCCTGAGTGGAAAAGCAACATTCATCCCAAGGAAAGTCCCCGCTTCAATATTAATATCAAATGGCATAGCTAACCACCTAACCTAACTTAATTACCGGTACCTATCCCAGAATGAAAATATATTATTTTATATTGTGTTTGGCAGGTTAAATTTATCTTATTTACCTAAATGGCCACCCACTAGAGGTGGCCATGCCGAGGGAAGGTAGCATGTGTAGGATCCCTCCATTGTTCTTGATAATTTTGTCAAGGGCTATTGTGAAGCCCAGTACTGTTACTATACAAACAATATATATATATATATATATATATATATATATATATATATATATATATATATATATATATATATATATAAATATATATATATATACAGTACATATACATATATATATATATACATTGTTGGTATACAAACAATATATACAGACATTGTTGGTATACAAACAATATATACAGATATTGCAGGGTAATGTCTGAGAACAGCTCTACCACCAGAAGGAGTTGTTTGATTTCGTTCACTTTTTTCCACAGATGTTCTTAACATTTACTAGAACTTAATAGAACCTAACCTAACCTTACCTAACTTCCTGGCAAGGGGGTTCTGCCCCTGTTCCCCCTCGCCATATTAAACAGAAGGGAATTAGTGATGTAGTTTTAAAATTTCTTTGTGGACGTGAGATTATGCTCAGATCGAGTGGATTGGTTGTAAAAATTGGGCAGATGTAATAACTCCTCAGGTTTATCAGAGAAGTATTTACAGTAAATAATTTATTTAATTATGTACAAATCATGTAGGGTCATGATTTTAGCGTCATATGATCAGTTTTTCACTGTATTTGACCTCATAATTTCCCTCATCCTTCATGCCTTGCCCACTAAGGGTGATTTATGATCAAAGATTGAAAAAAAACTAAAAAGAAAAAAAAATACTTCTATAATTAATATAAAAGGTTGTCGCTTCTTTTACAGTACTGTACTTAGTATAATGATAAGAATATCTGTGGAAAAAAATAAACATTATTGAATAACAACTGCTGGTAGAGCTGTTATCAGACATTACCCAGTGTAGGTATACAAGCAATATAGACATTACTGCAGGTATACAAACAATATATATAAAGTAGTGGGTGACCATTAGGTAAATATAGACATTACTGCAGGTTCAGATACATCAGGAGCCAGAGCATGCCCAGTACTTGACTTGAACTTTTAAATAAACATTTTTTAACACATTTGGGTTAAAGCGCTGGAGATGGGTGTAAGTTTCTCACACACTAGGGGTTAGGTTAGGTTTTATATTTTTTGAGGTTAGGTTAGGTTAATTTTTTTTTTGAGGTTTAACATTGTTTGACCTTCCACTAGTTTTCTAATTTCTCAACTACTTCATATCCTTTGGTAATTAAGGTTATATCTGTACTTAACACCGTGACTTACACTATAAAAACCTATTTTCAAGTCAATTAGCTGGTGGCAACTTCAAAATATTTACTGCCATAAGTACGAGTGTCTACTATAAAACAGTCTTAAGTGAAGGTGTTTTATATTAGTTGTCTATGAAATATCTCGACAGTGAAGTAGTAAATGGTTATCAAAGGTAAATATACAGACATTACTGCAGACCGTATTAACAGTGAGATTGTCAACCATCAATTATCACGCTATACTGGTGCTGTACAACTGACTTTATCTCTATACTTCCATTGAGGTTAATGATAGAGACTCACATAACAGAGAGTTTGCCAGAAAAGTGAATTTCGAGGCAGGAATGTGGAGAGTCGAGGAGCAGCCGCCAGCATCACTCTTGTCCATTACAGTGTGACTCTCAATGATATTAAGTTTATTAGAGTTATGGTAATAATTTTTTAATTTATGACTATACTAAATTTTTTTTAACATGTCATACAATAAACACTGAAAAATATCTGGAAAAAATATAAAAAATTCCCAAATTTATTGTTATGATTTTCATTTTGACGTAAAAAATTAAATTTCTATAAATATTTTACAGTAAAATATAATTCTATGAAATTTCAACAAAACTAAAAACTAAATTAAACTCAAAAGAGAAAAATATTGTTTATTTTGTTTTGTTTTTAATTCCAAGTCAGGCAGTTGAAGTTTTAAGTTCGGTCTCAATATATTATTTTTATATATACTTTTTATCTTAATGATTAATTATTAATTTAATAAAAAGGTTGTTTTGTATAGTTTTAATATATAATTAAATTATGCTTAATTTTTATTAGTAATAGTTTTTCTTTTCTTGATTTCTGGTGATAGTTGGTGAAAGTAATACTATTGTGTTATAATAATAATAGTTCTAGTTCACGCAACATATATCCCCCAATCAACTATATATAAGTATATATTATATTGTCTTAATATTCACCTAAACTATCTGAATTATATCAAACCAAAATGTAAAAATATATATAATATAAATAATGACGTCACAATTTAAATGTCCCACTAACCAACCAATCAGCGCTAAGTACTATCCTCCCCTGTACAGCTTGACCAATGAGCGACGAGTATTGCCCGCCTCTCCCCCCAACAGCGTCATTTAAACCGTTGGTCATCGCTCCGTTTGAACACTTGTTACTTCTTTTAACAAGTTCTCCGACGTGTGAGGATATTTACCAGACTACAGTAAGATGGCGTTAAGGACGACCCTTCACACCAGCGTGAGTGTCTTAATGGCGTCTCTTGGGTATTAAACAATAGGAGAGTTTGTGTGTTAGGTCGCCGCCATCATGGTGTTGTTTTGCCTCTAAATTAATCTGTCACATTTTCCTCTTGTCAAATACTCGAGTTGTTCTCTGTTAACTTGTCTTCACTGTTACTTTGTTTTAAGTATATGGTTGTGGCGTGACTTGTGCTACCCTAAGTAGTAATTTTCGTTGCCTTGTAAATTACTTCCCTCAAACCATCTACATATTATTTCCTGTAACTCACATCTTTCCTTTACCTTCATCACGCGCACCCACAGTGATTTACTTACATATGTTTTCATGTTTAAATAATTTCGCTGAGTAATTACTGATCATATAATGTTTTATAATTTGGTTAAATTTCCATTGTCAACCACATTGGCTCTCCAGTTGAGCAATGTGTTTTTCCGATGGGTTTTGTTTTATTCGAAGCAAACAACCAAACTAACCTAACCTAACCTAACCTTATTAAGCATGGGTAAAATTTTACAAGCTGCCCAACATGGTTTAGGACATGCAACTAACACACTGGACTTATAAAGTATTCCATTACTCCCTAACATATTAATGCAAATTTATCGTAAACGTATCATTTGTGACGTTATTATATTTCTTTTAAAAAAAAATATATCTTTATATTTAATTATGTATTGTATGGGATCCTTGTGTGAATAATTTTAATGTGACCACAAAATTGATATAAGAACATAAGAATGGAGGAAACTGCAGCAGGCCTATTGGCCCATACTGGGCAGTCCCGTTTATAACCAACCCCTATTGCTCGTATAAGCATCCAACCTATGTTTGAAGCTATTCAGCGTATTCGAGTTAATGATGATATTTGGTAACGTGTTCCATTCATCCACTACACTGTTTCCAAACCAGTGTTATTAAGGCTTAAATTACTGGTCACGCCAAGGTTGTTTTACCGGTTCATTGTTTATAAATACAGTATAGTCTCGGTTTACGCGGTCAATTAAACCCGTGTTGGTCCGCGTAAAACGAGAAACGCGTAAACGAAATAACAACAAATGGGATTAATTGAAATAGAGACTGGGCCGACCGCCAGACTACCCTTTTTCCTACACAATACGTGCGTTGTAGTAAAAATAACATCTTAATTTTATGATGGTATGCACACACAATATTTAAGAGAAATATCAATAGTATTAGGCTTTTTAACACTTACGTTAGTAGAAGAGGTGGCTGGGCACACGGGGATGGGTGGCTGGTTACGAGGCAGAGGGCAGATTATTGGCCCTCACCTGTATCACTATCCACCACAGAGGCTTGCAGGGCCTCTTTGTCAAACCCCTCAAAGTCCATATCCTCACTATCACTGACTTGGGGTGGCTGTGGTGGGTGGCGGATGAAGAACCCGGTAATGTTTTGTTGACTGGGCAACCTAGTGCGCACCCTGCCTGCGCCGCTTCCCGCGTAAATGGTGGAGTGTACCGCGTAACTAATAATTGCCTGTCTGGCCAGGTGCCATGTAAATGACCAACCTCGTAAAGGAAATCCGTGTAAATCGAGACTATACTGTGATGATATAACAGTATTTATTGAATTGAATTGAAACAGTTTATTTAGCCAGAAAAACAGATACAGTGTGGATAATAATAACAATATTAACATGGCTGAGCCAGTTGAGAATCTGAGCTCTCATTTAGGCACCTGATATATACTATACATTTATCTCCAGGAAGTATTATGTAACATTTAGTATCATCTGGGATAGTACAATAGCATGGTGGTAATAAGAACATCTCATAATGTTACCAAAGTTATCACTTCAATATTTATTTATTTATTTATACATAAATTACAGTGGAATTGAAAATAATAAGTAGAATGGGGGAGCATTACAACATGGGTTGTACAGTAATAAGGTTGAACAAGAGGACAGAGCTGTCAGGATTATGACTAGTTGGCAAATATGTTTATTGCAATAAAAGCAGGTACTGTAAATATAGTAAGTGTTACAAGAAATATTAATACTTCGACAATAGATATTTTTTTAGAGATGATTTAAAGGAAGGGAGCGTAGTCTTTGCTCGGATGGGTGGGGGTAAGTTGTTCCATACCTTCACACCATGATATTTTATGGAGGTCTGGGACTGAGAGGAGGCATGGGGGGTGGTCTTAGTAGCTCTGGGTGCCTTAAGTTGTATCTCTGATTATTCCGGAACTGGAAATAATTATTGTCAAGAGGGTACAGCAGTAGGTGTTAATAACTTTGAATTTAAAAATTTTCAATGTAGCAAATTTCTCGTTTGTTTGATTGTTTTTCAAGTAGGTCATTGTCCGTACAACTCTCTTTTGTACAGTAACCAGAGATTGTGTTTTTGAAGAGCCAGAGGCCCCCATAGTGTGTGACAGTGTATCAGGTGTTGGTAAACAAGATCATGATAGATTTCTTTCATTGCTGTGAGAGTGAGTGACTGTTGAGTGTGATACATGATACCGCACTGTTTATTGACTTTACTGTGAATGGCTTGTATGTGGTTTCTCCAGTTAAGTTTCTCATCAACAATTACCCTAGGAATTTAGTATTTTGTTCGCGTTTGAGGACTGTATTACCAAGGTATAGGGGGTTCAAGTCTGGGGGTAAGTTTTTCCTTAGGTGAAAGATCGTGTAGTGGGTTTTCTAAAGGTTTAAGGTCAGTTTATTACGTATTACCCAGGTCCTGACTTTAGTCAATTCAGTGTTCATAGTTCTCATCAAGGAATGGAGGTCTGAGTTGGTGGCATAGAGATTACCATCGTCTGCAAATAAGTTGTATTTTATGAGTGAGCTGGCTTGGACTATGTCATTTATGTACAACAAAAACAGTACTGGACCATACAAGATTGGCAAGGAGTCAGATTGGTGATTATTATAGCAGATGTACTGCATCCTGTTGGACAGATACGAGGGAAACCAATTGTGGGACAGGCCCCTAATGCTGTAATGTTCAAGTTTTGAAAGGAGGATGGTATGGTCGACAGTATCGAAGGCTTTAGAGAGGTCCAAGAATAACTGACTGTCATCAAAGGAATTTAAGATGTCATTAGTAAAGGATAGCAGAGCACTCTCAGTTGACCTTCTAGCTCTAAATCCAAACTGGGAGTCTGTAAAGATGTTATTGTAATACAGTTGCATAAAAACATAACATGTATGAATGTATTTTATAGATCTGTACATTATATCAGTTATACATAATACATATAATCCGATACTATCAGCACTATATAAAATCCATTGCAATAGTATAGTTGCACATAATAAAATATTATTTAACATATTGCCAGGTGGTTAAGGCGGTCGCTTGTGAGAGAAACGTCATAGAAGAAAAATGTTTAAGAACTGTCTAAACAATTGATTGCAACCATAAAATTCTCGAGACTTTGGGTGGTAACAAGGGAAATTTGACCCACATGTTTGGAAAGTTTCTATTAAGGAATTTTATTATTAAAATAAGTTACAGCAAAACAGTCTCTGCAAAACCAAACCTGGTTTTATGCCTTGTCCATTTTTCAATGTACATTTGAACCCTGTGAAGGCAGCAGTCACAGGCCATGAAGTGCAAGTCCTGTTTACAATGTATACACAACCACTGGGGAGCAGAGTTGAGAGCGAATAATTTGAATATAAATGTCTTATATTTTGCACAGAAGATAAAATTTTTGCTCACTAATAAAATTCTTAAATTACTATATATCTACTCCCAGCTGTTGTGCCCTTGATATGTCTCTACTCCCAGCTGTTGTGCCCTTGATATGTCTCTACTCCCAGCTGTTGTGCCCTTGATATGTCTCTACTCCCAGCTGTTGTGCCCTTGATATGTCTCTACTCCCAGCTGTTGTGCCCTTGATATGTCTCTACTCCCAGCTGTTGTGCCCTTGATATGTCTCTACTCCCAGCTGTTGTGCCCTTGATGTCTCTACTCCCAGCCATGTCTCTACTGTTGTGCCCTTGATATGTCTCTACTCCCAGCTGTTGTGCCCTTGATATGTCTCTACTCCCAGCTGTTGTGCCCTTGATATGTCTCTACTCCCAGCTGTTGTGCCCTTGATATGTCTCTACTCCCAGCTGTTGTGCCCTTGATATGTCTCTACTCCCAGCTGTTGTGCCCTTGATATGTCTCTACTCCCAGCTGTTGTGCCCTTGATATGTCTCTACTCTCAGCTGTTGTGCCCTTGATATGTCTCAACATAAACTTGGGAAAGTAACATTGGTCTTTCTAAGGATGTACAGTACAGTGTAGAAGTGCATAAATTATCAAGTTAATTTACATGAATATTTATAAAGGTTTGTTATTTTGTCAGCAGATGGGTCCAGATAATGTTCTCAAGAAGGTGGAGACCAAGCTGATCCAGGGACCAGTGCTGCACCGGCCAGCGCTTGGAGAAGTTGGTAACTGTGCTATATCGCTCCGTGGATCCAAGGCTCCTTTGAAACTTTCAGAAATCACTAAGAGGCCCTCTATTGTTCCTAAATTAAGACAAAGGTGAGTTTTTATATAATTTTTTTTCTTTTTATATGCCTTATACAGGATGGCCTGGCAACAAATGAAAACACACACATTGTTTACAAATTTTTAGCTATCCTGTTAGAAGAGCAAAAGAAGTTTTTAATGCCCTAGATGTTGGCTGTTACAAGTGCTAACCATTTATAATTGGGGTGACTGTATATTTAAGTAAAAGTTTATCTACAGCAGAGGTTTCCAGCCTGGTGTTTGCTACATTATTCAGGGTCATCTATTTGGAGATACAGTACTATAGTACAGTACGTTATGTAGAACATGTTTAGGATTGGATCAAACTCGGTTATAAGTGCGTGTAACCCCATACAGCACAGTATTGATGATGGTCTAATACAGGTTGGACCTTGCTAATCCGGGAAGCTTGGGACCAGACAGGTTCCCGATTAGCGGAAATTCTGAACCATCGAAGCCGAGGTTAAAAAAAGGTAAAATAATGCATAAACTATACTGGTACCAATACAACTAACATGAGCATAAATCTAGCCCAGGCTTACTGGACTTCTTTATGACAGTGTTAGTACTATGACACGTTTACTGTACACCGGACCCTCACTTTATGCCTTTCATTATGTGGGAATTCACATACCTGTATATGTACAGAACTAAACAAAGAATTTGTTTGAAATACTCTTTAACATTCAATGCCATAATATCCTGGCCACTGGGGTTAGTTATGCAGTTTCCCCTGTGAAAAGGTTGTAATTTTGATCAACATTTTACTGTACCTGTACTCACTTTTTACTCAAATGTACTAAGCTAAAGGACTAAAATTTTATATCATGTAAACTATGAGATGTTAATACTCAAATTGATCTTTCTTGCAAGGATTCCAGCAATGCAAATTATATTTTGCCAAGTCAAGTCAATGACATTTTATAAGATCAAATCTTAAGCCTAAAACCACCTTCACCCTCTAAAATCTTTATCGCCTTCTGGCTGGGAGGATGGGGAGGGGGAGGTGAGCAGAATATAACTTTCATTGCTGGAACTCTTGCAAGATGGTGATTTATTTGAGTATAAACATCCCACAGTTTACACTAGATAAAAGATTGTCCTTTAGCTTCGAACATTTGAGTACACAGCGAGTACATTAATACTGTATGGTGCTCAAAATTATGGCTTTTTACTAATTAACTTAGTACATTTGAATACAGGTTATGATAATTGTTATGAGTTTTCCACAACTTTTATAGCATTACTGTTGACTTTTAGTAGTTGTGGAACATATCCTAATTTTCCCCATAAGATTTAAGTATTCTCTATATGTGTCCCGAACCATCAAAGCTGCTGGACCATCAGGTCCTGGATTAGCGGGGTCCAACCCGTAAAAGAATACTGTACAGTACTCTGGTTATCACGAGGAATGAGTTCCTAAAGGACATTGTGAATATTGGGGTTTAATTTTCCCCATGAGAATTAATGTAAATATGGGAGGATGCATTCCCAGCTGGCAACTTTCACCACATGTACTGTACTGTACACTTCTCATTATCCAAGACTATTAGGGACCAAGTTTGCCTGTACATTACTGTACCAGTAAATGTGAAGAAAAAATAAAAATTATACTTCTAGATAAAAAATAAATAAATACTGCTCTGCCAGTTGGCAATAAAAAGTTTAACTACACATGGGAGGCTGAGATCCCCAACACTGGCTCCCCCTCCCATTAACTAACATGCACATAAAATATTTTGTATTACCTTTGTTTTTGACTTTATAATTTTTTGGGGGGTTCATTCTGCATGAATGATTGTGTCCTTATAACAGTAAAAAATAAAACTGTGTACCATTATACCTGCCTGAAAATACAAGTTAAAAAATAGTACTAACACAGCTTGGGGAGAGCTAGGGGGCTGCAGCTACATTGACAATCTAATTTAGACACCTACACGTCCATGCTCTTCTTATTTAATAGCAGGTTACAGGTACTGTACACTCCATATTATGCAATAAAATATTTACAGTACCACAAAAACAATACAAAAGAACGTGTGTGTGTGGCATTTTTAAAGGAGTGTATACGGCTAAACTAGCGTTCACCATTGTAGTATGAAGAATTCTAGAGCGTTCGGAATGTTTTTTTTTTCACTCCATGGTTGTGAAGTACAGTACATGTGTTTTATGAGTGAATGGTCCCATTGAACGTCATTAATTTCTAGCCCGCACAGGTCCTCGCGCATGAAAAAAAACTTGGTCGTGTGAAGCGGGTCTTACGGTGGAATAGGAGTGCTGTGGCTAACCCGCGGGGTTTGAAATATTGCTGTAGGGTATTGTGATTATCTTTGTGAAAAAGCGGGGTATGCCTTGAGACGCGTTAAAATATAAAATGGGGTTAAGTGGTGTTGTGAATAGTGAGTTACTGTTTTCCTGTACAGTAACACCTACAGTAGTCATTTAGAAAGATAGATCACTATGGCTTACCTTGTGTCTTTAGGACATGTTGTCTTAATGGATGTTTCTGACGTCCACTTCTTTCTGGGAAACTGTTTGCCAGAAGTGGCTATAACTGGGGGATGCATTTAAATACTATGCTGTACAGTACTCTATGACAATGTAGAGCACGTACAGTACAGTATATACAGTACAGTAGGATAAGGATATTGTGAGATGGGGTCCAACGATGTTCGCGATATATAATTCCATGTAATCAATGGGGAAAATGGGGTTAGCTTCTGGTGGCCAATAAGTGACTAAACTTGACTTAATGAGTTTATTTTCTTACTAACTAAAGCACCAATGAACACTAGACTCGGCAGCTGATGCACCATCACGGGAACACCAGACTCGGCAGCTAGACGCTACACTGCCACCCTCACTTGACAATCCCACACCTACATAAATGAACAAACCAATAATATTAGTTACAGTATTAAATCTTTTCCATTAAGCTTTCCATTCCCTTCACTTTAGTTTTCACGTCACTAGCAACCCATTTACACTCGGCACTCGCCTTAGAAGTCTTAATCTGCAGCAGAGTCGGCTGCTTACTCGTCACTCGCTCAGAAAGACTGAGTGGGTGAGCGTGAATGCGTGGGTGAGCAGCCATGGTGGCGCCATGCCTTTGGTGAGCAAATAACACATTTGCATGCCATGGCAGTACATTTGAAACATTTCCTGCCCGATTTCCCTTGCGAAATAAATAAATTTATTGCTATACCGTATTTCTCGGGGTATAAGCCGCCCCGACGTATAAGCCAAACCCTGAATATTTAGTTGAAATATCAATTCTAGGCTGATGTCGTGTGTATAAGCCGACCCCCAAACTCGACTCATTATGAGCGGTTTGACGTTCGATACTGCACTGACTTGCCTTCATAGTCGACCTCTTATCTGTTTGCCACATTCTCTCCACTTGGCATTTTCCATATCTGAGGTGGTTGTCTTTAAACCTTATAGTAAAATGGCCCCACCCGCAAAACGAATGAAATACGATGCCTCGTTCAAGTTAAAAGTTGTAAGATTTGCAAAGGCATCAAACGACTCTGCAGCTGCAAGAGAATTCGGCGTTAATGAGAAGCAGGATCGAGAGTGGAAGAAGGCTGAAGAAAAGCTAGACATCCCCAGAACAAAATGTGCCCTGAGAAGAGGTAAACAACAGTGGCCAGAACTGGAGGAGAAATTATTCGAGTGGGTCGACGAGAACCGAGAGAGTGGATACGTCATCACCGGGAATGCCATATGTATTGATGTAATGAAGCGTAAATAGATTCTTGGAATGCCATAAAATCAGAAATGGTAGTAAAAACATTAAAAAAAATATTGCATATCCAATTCTCTGGATGGTGAGGAGGATGATGTGGTGTGGGAAGATGACGATGAAGCCGCAGCCAAGTTGGAGGACTGGGATTCACCGGAAGGAACCACTAGATCAGAGGAAGATTTTGAAGGATTCTAAACCATTTCAATTCTATATTGCTTTTTAACATTTTTACTGGTCTTTTTTTTTTATCAATGTCTTATATAAAGAATTTGTATTTCAACCCTTTGTTACACTAATGTCCTTGGGGTGAATAACAGCTGATCAAGCCACCACGCTGGTAATAGTGAACAACAGTCGTGTCCTATCGCTGTTGTAGTATTTCTGTTATTTTGGTATTTTAGGTCACTTCAGTTCACGTCTTTACAATAACAAAGTTGTACAGCCACTCCTCGACTTACGATGGGGTTAGGGACCCAAATCCAGGTCGTAAGTCGAAAATGAGAAAATAATACATAGAAAACCTAAAATGGGTGTCTCTTTTTCTTCTCGTCACCACAAAACTCTCACTTTTAAGCTTGCCAGCCATTTTAAAGGGAATTACAAACGAAAATTTTGTCAGTACACAGCGCAATCACTAACGTCGGGACTCGAAAATACGTAATTTGAAAAAATTTTGGTACGACTGAGGCGGTCGTATGTCCGGGTGGTCGCAAGTCGAGTAGGTCGTAAGTCAAAGTTGTTTTATATATGGGTTCTCATAAAGAGAATAACAACTGATTGGGCAGTCACATTGAAGTTTCCGAGTAGTAAATAGTGTCTCTCGCTGCTATGCACCAGAAATTTTTAAGGTTCATGATCTAGATCTGCTGCATAAGCCGACCCCCATGATTTTTGGGAATTTTGGGGGGCTTACAACCTCGGCTTATACGCCGAGAAATACGGTATATTGGAAAATGTCAATAATTTTGGTAGTTGCAATATAAAAAAATAGTTATAAAAGGTGGCAATGTATCCCGGCCCTACTGTACTGTTCTCTCATTGTTAAATATTAACCCTCTTGGTGCCGTAGGCTTTCTCCAAACTGAATAAAATCGTTGATTGGCCGATATTGTGGTGGCTGGCGATTCACTCGTTATAATAGTGGTGAGAAAAGTTATACCTAAACCTGCAGCGTTGACTATTGGTCAGGAGGTTGACGGTGCTCATGGGCTGAAATGAAAAGAAAACCTAATAGTATACAGGTGTGTGAGAGAGAGAAAGTAACAAGTGGGCAATGGATTCTAAAGGGGCATTTTCCCCCAGAGGATTTGTTCTCGAGAATTAGTGTACAGTCCACACGTTAACCTTATACAAGTGTGTTGTGAGGATAGAGTAGTGAAGTGGATCTCTGTTCCTTCTCTAGTGACAAAGAAAATGCGAAAAAATCGAGGGATCCTGTGGAGAATGTGGAGGAGCAAATGGATGTGGAGGAAGTTGCCAAGGTAAAAGAGTTGTCCATTGCCTTTTCTACACAATGCCTTGGTGTTGAAGACATAGATGCTGAAGACGGAAGAAATCCTCAGTTGGTGTCAGAATATGTGAAAGACATTTATAAACACTTACGCCTGCTGGAGGTGAGCGTTTGTTTATTATTTTGTTAGTCTTTAATTCTTAATTGGTGTTCTGTTAACTTATGGGTATATATGGCTTAGGTTTTAAGGATTTCCATTTGTGCTAAAAAAATTTCTATAGAAATGGGTATTGTTGTTGAGGGTTATATCATGGCTTCAGAATAATGCTGATTTTACATCTTTAAACTCTTGAGCTTGTGAACAAATCTTAGCTCTATCTATAACGCTCTTTTAATTCCCTCGCATATTGGTCCCCCTTTGCCTGTAACACTACACTGTACTGTAGGCTAATACTGCCAGTCCTCGCTATTTACATTCCTCTCCTACACCTTTCTTACATGTTCAGTCTCCAGACCATCTTTGTAACATTCTTTTACAATCCTCTAGAGCAGCTTTCTCTACCCTTTATGGAATAATAACTCTTAAAACTTAACTGTATTGGGTTGTCATGTCTTGACTTGTAAAAGACTTTGTTTGGTGTCCAGTATATTGTAATGTGTCATGATGTCTTTGTTTCAACAGGAGGGAAATAAAGTACGTCGTCACTACCTGGATGGTCAGCAGATTACAGGGAGGATGAGAAGCATCCTTATTGACTGGTTGGTTCAGGTTCACATACGCTTCACACTTCTTCAAGAAACACTCTACCTTACTGTGACAATCATTGACAGGTATCTCCAGGTAGGTTCATTTCAGCTGTACTGTGATGCTCTGTACAGTACATTGTTTTACAGTATAGGAAAGCCTCCGATAACGGCGGTTCTACTAACGACGAATCATATTAAAGACCCTGGCGAATTTAGGACCCAATTCATTTTGCACCGTTATTTTCTTCGTATTTACGACACAAATAAAAAAAATAAAGTAGAATTACATTTTCAAAATAAATAATAACTATATCCCGATATACATAAAAAAAACATACCTTGCTCATGGAGGCTGCTGGGCCTGTGAGTGGCGATGCCAGCATCACCAGTATAAACAGTCGCAGCTGGCAGGCCCTTTGTTTTCACGCATCTGAATAGGAAACGGAGAAAAACTTTCTCGGGTTTCTTATGGCATTTTTGCATCCCTATTCAACATGAGCAAGTGATGGTAGTGTTGGTCAAAAAGCTAAAAGCAAATGTTTAACCTTAGCCGAGAAACTAGGTGTGTTAAAATGATATGAAAAGGGTGAGAGAGGTCTGTGGATATTATATGGAGCAAGCAGTGAACATATTTTTGAAGTGGATCCATTAACAGAATGAAGCATTAAAATTAACAGGGACTTGAAAAACGTACATGACCTGTACATAAAGATGTGAAAGGTTCTTTCGACAGCTTTATTATTCGAAGGCCTAAACCATCAAATTCAGCTACACCATCAAATTCAGCATCATAAGCTGCTTCGGCAAAAACTTCAGGTTCAGTAACAGTTTCAGCAGCAGCTATGACATCTTTATGGAAAGCTTTAGCAAGAGTTGAATCTGATGACTTTGTCACCTGAGTTAAAACTCACACATCATTGGCTGTCCTTAGGTTTTAGACTTTACCACCATTGGTAGTAGAATTTTTGTTTTACATTCGTAAGTATTATTTAAAATTTTTTTTACATGAGTAAGTATTATTTAAAACATATATGAACAGTAAATAAGTGTTGCTTTCATATTCTTGTGTAGAGAAATTTCAATCAAATACATATTCATGTCATGCAATCCGTAATCCGGTTCCACCGCTGGTTTGGACATAATTTGGCCACCGTAATTTAAAATTTCGCGCTGGTCTCCTCGCCAACACGCCACTACTGTTTTGGTGGCGCCACTAGCAGACTCGGTTATTCCTGTGTTTTTCTTCATTATAAACTGCTCTTATTTAGCCCCAGTCATGTCTTCATTGAATAAAGGAAGTGCTTCTCGTGGTGTGAAGCGCAAACACCATACGTTGTCTATACAAGATAAGGTTGAACTTCTCAAAAAACTCGACAGTGGCGTGTCCGTTCGCAGCATATGCGACTTGTATAACATTGGCGCTTCCACAACTACTAAAAGTCAACAGTAATGCTATAAAAGTTGTGGAAAAATCCTTACAATACTCTAATGTGGGTTTAAAGATAATATAATATAAAACTATAAACTAAGACATATGAAGAGCATTGGTGTTTGTGTGGAAAGGGTAAGTGTCTGACTCACCAGCTGTGTCCCGTGACGCCACATGCAGTGCACACACACACACACTGTGCCACATTTCACAACCATTTCTAGAGCATTAATGCTGTAAAAGTTGTGGAAAAATTATTCAAAATACTCTAATGTGGCTTAGAAATAGATATAATAATACGTAATATCAAACTTTTGTGCCATATCTTCTGTAGAATGCATAGCACTAGGCTCTCACATTTGGACACCTATTTAGACTGTAAAAACCTCGCAAAATTCAAATCGTCCAAATTTGAATACAACCTCCTATGGAGAAAATTAATTTGCGTCTGGTACTTTCGATGTTTGGCGGATTACTACCTGTAATAAAGCAACATCCTAATAAACCAACGAAAATAACACAAAGTTAAATAAAAAATAAAAACAACCCAGAAAAAGATTTTGTTCTACGACTTCGGCTAGAGTTGAACCTGTGGCAACTTCGTCATCCGTGTAAAAACACACACAACAACATTGGCTGTCCTTATGTTTTCAACTTTATCACCACTGGTGGTTAGAATTTTTGTTTTAAATTCAGAAACCTGAATTAAAATATATATGAACAGTAAATAAGTGTTGCTTTCATATTCCTATATAGAGTAATGACAATATGTTTTCACGTGTGCACTTATGTACGCGATCTCACTTTTTTCTTTACCATTAATGGTTAGCAACTTCTATTGTTCCATTTATTAACATTAAATAACATTACTTAAAACAACCATATTAATTTTTTTACATTAATTTTGTTACAGCTACAACCAGGGTATTATTTTCTTCAGTTTTATATGTAGACCCAATCAATCACTGGTTTTGTAAACATTAACGAAAACAATGCCGTCTCGTCTCCTCGTGTGTTTTGATATTCTACGGATTATTAATGAATTGAATTGTTCATTTTGCACACATAAACATTAATTCAACCAAAAAGACATTCGGTAATAAACAATAATGAATTTTTTGTACATAAATGACGCTGTTTACGCGATTGTGCACATCTGAACGTTGGCGGGCTGCTCAAACCCGTCGAAATTTGAAATTGTGTAGTGTTTTTTGTGTCCAAATAAAAACGTCGAATTAAAAACTCGCGAAATTTAAGAACCTACTATTAGGGAATCTTTCCACATAAAATGAATTGTGGGTAGAAATAGGGCCACCGCAAAAATGCGAATTCGTATACAGCTACTCCTCGACTTACAACATACTCGACTTAAATCACCCGGACATACGACCGCCTCGGTCGTTCCAAAATTTTGTCAAATTACGTATTTTCGAGTCCCAACGTCAGTGATCATGCTGTGTACTGACAAAATTTTCGTTTGTAATTCACTTTAAAATGGCTGGCAAGCTTAAAAGTGAGAGTTTTGTGGTGCTGAGAAGAAAAAGAGACACCCATTTTAGATTTTCTATGTATTATTTAAGCATTTTCGACTTACGTCATGGATTTGGGTCCCTAATCCCGTCGTAAGTCGAGGGGCAGCTGTACTGTACAGTGAATGCGCATAAAGCGAAGGTCCAGTGTATCAAAACACTGACATCTGTTGACAGTTGGGAGTCCAGTGGCGGTTTCTTTTTATTATCCAACTTGTACTATTTACAGAGTATTTTAAAGGTAGGGTGAGGTGGTTATGAAGTGGGTTAGAGGTAATTATTTATTTAATCCTAACCTAACCACCTGTGGTTCGACAAAATCACTAATCCGGCACTGCTCAGGTCCCAATCAGTCTGGATGTGAGATGGTCAACCTGAAATAAACAAGAATGAATCTTTTGTATATATTCTTAAAATAAATGACGCGGTTTCTTTGAGGGCAAGTATACATTGCCGTTTCACTGTCACTCTTCTTTCTTTAACATCAATGGTTACCTTTACTGTACATTAAATAACAATAATTAAACATACATGTTTTTTTTACATTAATTTTACTATTGCAACAACCAGGGTCTTTTTTTCTTGTTTCAGATGGATAACTGACACTATGGGTGTAAACACTGACAACAACAATAGCATCCCATCTCTTATGCGACCATATTATTATTCATTTATATTGTATAAGGTCCATTCATTAACATTATTTAAAGAATATAGTTTGCCTTTTTGATTAATTGTATTGTTTTGGGGGAAAGGAGGGTAAAAAGCCACACAAAAGATATGGAAAGGTCAGACTTGGGTACACATCTCATTATTATTGCTTTATTTTAATGGTAATTAATGATTCACGATATGATGATTCTCCTTACACTGCAATAATGGATGACACATTACAGTCGTTCTTCGAGGCTTTACTGTATTTGATAATCTGTAATACAGTACTGTGCAGTAAAATTCCATATAACAGACTTCTCTAGGAAAATCCGTTTGTCTCAATAACCATGGTCTTGAGTACTCTTACTTGAAACAACCTTATAGCATTTGCTAGTGTCATTCTATTACTAAATCTGGTGTAGCTACAATTTTCAGAGTACACAAGTTAATGGAGTTAGTCACTTCCAATCATTTATGGACAAATTGTCTGCTTATAGCAAATCACCTCTAAATCGGAGGAAATTGACTGAATGTGTTGCTGAACTAGAATAGGCTGTGTTCTGAGCACCAGGTGGGTAGCCAACAGTGTGGCTTAACTATGAAGCATTATGTTCTCATTTTGAAAAGGCAATGAAGGATGAAACAAGATCCTCATGTGACAGAAAATCATATGGAGGTCTGTTAAAGAGAATTTCTTCAAAAGTTTATTTTAGACTTGTCTCTAATGTTTGACACATTGTATGAACTCGGTTTACTATCAGAGTGTTTGCAAAAATGCACAGCTACGATTGTGTATACAGACAAACTGATCCACCGGATCATAAGGTCATGCTTCCCAGTTGGGCGCTGTAAGCACTTCTGCGCTTCACCTTGCACAGGACATAGGGGGGTGCCCAATTAAAAAAAAATAACTTGGTACAAAAACTCATGTAGCCCGAGAGGCAGTTGAAAGGTGTTTGGGACTGTTTCATTAGTGAGAAACAGCAAGATCTCCTCCATCAACAGTTTCTTACTAGTCTCATTAATTATCTAAAATATTATATGTTTGACTATGTCAATGAAAGGTTCTCAACCCCAAGGTAACCGTGCATCTCTATCAGAAGAATTGTGTGTCCTTGATAAAAATATTTGCCTGCTGAAACGCCACTGAATTATGGAGAAGCTGCAATATCGTCTTTCTGCAAGTGTTTTAAGCTGTTACCTGCTTCAGTACTAAGTGCCTTCAGAGATTGTGGAGAATCCTGGACACCTCATCCCCCAGGATTTATGCTCGTTATTAAACTGCATTCAAGTGATTCCCAGCAGTACTGCAGAGTGAGAGAGGGGATTCAGTCGCATAACTCAGGAGTCACCACTTATGTTTGTTCAACTACATGGTCCTCCACCGGCTCAATGGAATCCTCCTCCATATGTCACATCCTGGCTACGACATCACAGATCAGCCAGGGGAAGTCCATGTAGTTGAACAAACCTAAGTGCTGACATCCGAGTTATGTGAAGTCTTGAGCGTGTTGGTGTTATTAAGTTCATGTGCTGAATCCCCTCTCTCAGAAGTAAAATGACTATTTTATCCATTCTGCCAAGCTGGAACTAGTGGCAGAGGAAGCTTCATTCATGCATGTAGCTGGGGTTGGTTCCTTAGTTATGTGGTTTTATTTTAATTTTTCTTCCATTTTAACCTTGGTGGCAGTCGCCATCTTGGATTTGGAAGTCGATATGGTGCCTCTAAAAATTTACCATCCCATCAGATTTCTCACCTGAAAATTAGTGGAAACTGACCCATTATTCATGATTTTAGTGCATCTAGTTCAAAAGTTATCACCGGCCATATGGTGAAAATGACCACTGGCCGCCATTTTGGAATTTGGGCTCCCACCTAGTTAGCCGACACTTTTGAGAGGTACAGTACATAGGAGCTAAATCTTGTTTGAATAGTCCCTGGTACACAAATCAACAATAAAAAAATGTAGGAACATAATGGTCACATTTGATGATGATGACTACTACGTGGATGGTGTTAGTTCTGTACTGTACAGTCTCGCAAGATTATTCGAAAACTGCCGGAGACAGCTGGCAACTCAAATTAACAATATATACCAGCAGTAAAGTATAATATACAAAACAACAAAGCCCAACCATTAATTAAGTAACCAATCACCGATGACTTTTATATTTGTTCGTACTTTTGACAACGTACTATAGTAAACAAACGGCCTCGAGTTGCCAGCTGTCCCCAGCAGTGTTTGAACAATCTTGAAAGACTACATAATTTGTTCAATGTGAATGATGTTGAAAATAATACATGTTTGAGGGAATAAGCTTGAGCAAGTGTTTAGGAAGTCAGTGTAAGTGTAGGCTAGACAATTGAGCATTGTCTGTGGGTCATATCAAATACTGTACAGTATTTGATATGTCAAAAACGCATAAATTTTCAGATATAAACCGAACTAATGTTTTTATGAATGAAAACTTGTAAACTGTTACTCGGTTCACTAGAGCCTTTATGGTTCTTAACCACCTGTTCAGACTCCTGAAGGTTTTTAATGCTTGTATATTTTCCCTTTACAGAGTGAGAGGAATTTGCCTCGCACTAAGCTGCAGTTGGTGGGCGTGACGGCCATGTTTATAGCCAGCAAGTACGAAGAAATGTACTGTCCAGAAATTGGAGATTTTGCTTACATTACAGACAAAGCATATTCAAAGGCTGAGATTCGCCAAATGGAAGTGGCCATTTTGAAGAAGCTCGATTTCAACGTATCATACCCACTACCTCTACACTTCCTTAGAAGAAACAGCAAGGCTGGATCAGTAAGTACAGTGCAGTATATGAGGTGCTCGGCATTAGAAGCGGGTGAAGCGCCACCCCGGGCAATATACGTTTTTTTATGGATATCACTATTTTCATCATTCCACTGCATGTTGGCATTGAATGTAACCTCCTAGCTAGAATAGAAATATGGTTGAAAGTCCTTCAAAAATAGGGTGTCATTTTGCCTCAGTCCGGGAGCTATGTAGCTGGCTGTGTGCTCAGTAAATGAAGGTGGCTACATCCCGTTCAGAGTGAGAGGAATGCGCGCCAATGACAGCATGCCTCCTGTGGGGACCCCCCCCCCCACCGGAGTCGGCCAATCACAATGGATTTCCCTTGCTACGTCACAGCTCCTCTGCCAATCCGCGCCCCCCCAGATGCTGCCTCCTTGTTAGTTTAGGCATGTTGTATAGGATAAGGCGGTTCAGCGTACTTTCTACTGCTATTTTTTGATAACTTTTCGGCGTAACATTGGCGTTATTCATGTCCACAGGTGTGAGAAGTGCTGTGCAATGTGTGCCCGATATTAGAGCGACTCGAGTGAGGCCAGGCCTTCTGGTGTGGGTTCAGGAGCCTATTATTCCTGAGCGCGTGTTTAGTGACGACAGTGTTCACGTGGACACCCCAACCATGCTTGGTGATAGTGATTTTGGTAGTGAATTTAGTGGTGATTATGGTGATACAAGTGCTACTGGCGATGGTGCAGGTGATGAGCTACTTGATGTTGGGGAGCTTAGTGGTGGTGGAGCACCACATGATGCAGATTGCAGGGGTCAGGAGCCCCCTTCCCCAAGGCCCTATAGAAAAAAAGGCAGGAAGAGACAGCGTAGGGTTGATGAGTGGGCACAGGAGGTTGCCAAGCATAAACGTAATTTGATTATGACGAGGCCATTAAAGTTATAAGCACTTCTCAGGATTTACGTAACTTCAACTTCCTACGATCATCAGGGATAATAAAACGAAGGAACTAAACAAAGTAAGATTGTAAAGAAATACTATGATCATAATACTCTTTTTACCAAAGATTGTGCAAACTTTCTTCTCCTTTGTATGTTAATGGTGGGGGGATGAGTGTAGTGGTGTTTCCTTATTATTACACACTATTATACTTAACAATAATATAAATATTGGGCTGATAATAGGGACAGAAAGATAAATACTGATAAACAAATGAGTTTTTTATTATTTCATTTGGGGGGGGGTAAGACGAGTGTTGTCTTTGGTGATCATTAACTTGTTTTGCAGTATTAGCTCACAATAATAAGAAAATTTTGCAGAAAAACAAGATTATTGTTTGTTTGAAGATCAAACTACCATACATGATGGGTAGTTATTCTCATTTACCTCGTGATAAAATAATAACTTATTCACAAAACTAACTTCCAGTTTTAACAGTTCGCTAGGAGAGGGATTGAGGTGCACGATAATTTTTTTTTAATCCTCTAGCTTAAAAAACAGCGAAGTTATGGTTGTTTGAATTTAAAAAAACTTTAAATGTATTTTTCTCCACTTTTTAAATTTGGAGCTTCACCTCTTTCTAATGCTGAGTGCCTCGTATACAAAATGTAGTTTTGCTGTGTGCTAGTAAAACTGTGCAGTCAATTCAAGCTTATTGCTACTTATTTTTAACTACACTGTAGCTACTGTATGCAACATCTTCTTTCATCTGAGAAAAGTATCTTCAATTTTGTTATTTTTAACTGAATCATCTGTAATACAGTAGTTAACCTTGTTGTTTACAGGTTGATTCAGCACAACATTCCCTAGCCAAGTATTTGATGGAGCTGTGCTTGCCTGAGTATTCCATGTGCCATTATAAACCATCAATGATAGCTGGTGCTGCTCTCTGGCTCTCACTCAGGTAAGCTCATCATTTATAATTTGAAGGAAATCTCAACTTTACTCTATAAAAGCAATGAAAATGGTTTTTAAACTCCTCCCAAAACCTGTTATGTCCAAGAATAAAACCCCAACGAAAAAACAGTGGAAATGCCTTCGTTAGACATTTCCTTGTACAGTGAAACCTCCATCTAACGAACTATATAGAGATGAAAGTTCTTTATATCAAGAATCCGTTAGATATGAAACCCCCCATTTAACAGATTATATGGATAGAGGAGTCTGTTATATGGAGGTTTTACTGTATAACCTTGGCTGGTGTGGAGGAACATTTTTCACCTAAGTGTGGCTGATTTTTTTTTTAGGACAAGTAAATTTTTTCTACATGTGTATTTGTGTAACAATTCCTTTTGTTGTTGTTTATGGTAACACATCTGGATACTGTACATCAATCACCTCATATTCTCCAGCTAAGTTTCCTCCATCTCTACTTCTTCTTAGTACAGTACACCTTTCTTAACTCCCTAAAATATGTCACCTTTCTTCTAAATAGCCTACCAGATGTGTAAATGCATGCAGCAGTGTCCACACATATACAGGTACTCCCCGACTTACGATGGGGTTAGGGACCGACATCCAGGTCGTAAGTCGAAATGGTCGTAAGTCGGAAATGCTTAAATAACTCGTAGAAAAACGAAAATTTGGGTATCTTTTTTTTTCAGCACCACAAAACACTCACTTTTAAGCTTGCCAGCCATTTTAAAGTGAATTACAGATGAAAATTTTGTCTGTGCTGACTTTGGGTCTCAAAAATACATAATTTGACCACATTTTGGTACAACTGAGGCGGTCGTAAGTGCGGGTGGACGAAAGTCGAGTCGGGCGTAAGTTGGGGACTACCTGTACTTTGTGTATTATTTGTCAAGTGACCCATTATGTAACTGTATATTTTCAGCCTTCCAGCTGCCATGCTCTTTCAATAAACTGTTAATTATTACTACACACACACACACACACACAATTATTATATTACACACACACACACACACACAATTATTATATTACACACACACACACACACACACACACACACACAATTATTATATTACACACACACACACACACACACTTATTATATCACACACACATACACACACACACACACACACACACACACACACACACACACTTATTAATATTACACACAATTATTATTATTACACACACAATTATTATGACACACACACTTTGTTATATTGCACACAAAGCCTGTTCAACGAGGTTAAGGAGCCGTGAACCACCTACGTGATAACGGGTAGTCCCCATTAGAGGTTCACGGCGCCTTAAGCTCGTTGAACAGGCTTTCCGTGCAATATAACAAAGTCTAGGACTGCTTTTAGTATCCTGGTGGTCCAGCGGTTAGCGTTCCCCGGTCACAGTCATGGGCTCGGGGGCCGTGGGTTCGAATCCTGGCGGGTTGAGGTGTTGATTGTATGTAGAAGTCCGCGTGCTTTATTGGGCTAATGAAATATATATATATATATATATATATATATATATATTGTACAATTTTCTTTTACAGAGTTTTAGATGGTTCACCTTGGAATGAGACATTGGTGTATTACTCCTGTTACACTGAACAAGAACTTATGCCTGTTGTCTGCAAGATAGCTGCTCTAGTTATCAAGAGTGTCAATGCTAAGCAACAGGCAAGTTTTTTGTGCTTTTTTCAAATGTAGTTTCAGAAATGTTTAGTTTTCCCATAGTATTGCTCACATGTCCATTAAATAGTCAAGCATCCAAAGTTCTTCCAATAAACAGTACACAGTGCCATGAAGTGTGCTGTAGATTAGTGCCATGAAGTGTGCTGTAGATCAGTGCCATGAAGTGTGGAGTAGATCAGTGCCATGAAGTGTGCTGTAGATCAGTGCCGTGAAGTGTGGAGTAGATCAGTGCCGTGAAGTGTGCTGTAAGTCAGTGCCGTAAAGTGTGCTGTAGGTCAGTGCAGTAAAGTGTGCTGTAGATCAGTGCCGTAAAGTGTGCTGTAGGTCAGTCCAGTAAAGTTTGCTGTAAGTCAGTGCCTTGAAGTGTGCTGTAGGTCAGTAAAGTTTGCAACTTTTCCAGTAGTTTTCATCAGAGTGGCATAAAATGCTTTTGGTATGAAAGAAATCCAGCAATTTTATAAAAAATAAATGTTCCAATTAGGGGAAGGGTTATAACCTACCTCTATCACCACCACTGCCATTTTGCAGCATTTTTCATGTTTGCTTGTGTTAGTCATGATTACCTGATGGCAGCTCTGCAATCTCTTGTAGCGCCTCTCATCACATTCTTATCTCTGAGGTAATTTCTTACATCTCCAGGTCATTCTTGGCCTACCCCCCGGCTCTTTTCCCCTCCATATTTAGTCTCCTGCACCTTTTGACCAAATTGGGGACTCCTCCATTCTCTCCACCTGTCTGACCATCTCATCCTACCTCTATGCAAACCTCGCCAACATTCTTAATGCCATCCACTCTCAACTATAGAAGGTTTTCTTTCTTCCACTGGCACATTGACATCATTCTTCACATTGTCATTTCAACTTACTTAAGCCTACATACCTCATCCTCTTTAACTGCCCATGATCCACTTCCAATCAACACTTCTCATGTCAGTTACATAAAGTTTTCCTTCAAGCAAAGAGGAGGCCATCTTGCTATCAATAAAGACAACAGCTCCTTAATATTCTTCCAACCATGTCTTAACTATTGTGAGTGATCTAGCTTTAACACTGACCATGTCACCCAGGTAACCACACCTCGACTCATTCCAGGGATACTGTACAGTGGTCCCTCGGTTAGCGAACGGTTCGGTTAACAAAATTTTGGTTAACGAATAACCTTCCATAAGAATCTTCAATTCGGTTAACGAACAAAAATTTGATTAATGAAATCCTTACGAAAATCGGCCTTTGTTGTGAGCATGAGCTGATGAGCTACTCTACCAATTCAGTACTCTGTTCTATGTTTACATTCGTTTCCAATGGAGTAAATATCAATAAAGTTGTGCTCTTTAATATTTTTGCATGTTTTATATTAAAATTATTAGTCATTTTAAAATTTATTTAATATACAGTGACCCCTCGTTTAACGAACGCCTCGGTTAACGAAATTTCGGTTAACGAACTGCCTTCCATAAGGATCTTCAATTCGGTTAACGAACAAAAATTCGGTTAACGAATTTCTTACGAACCGACCTCAACATGTTTTCGCTTGCACTGACCGGGCAACCAGCTTTAGTATCAGTCCGCCAATACATTAATCGGTTCTAGGGCTTAAATTCCTTACTATTTTAGTAAATATCAAGAAGTTTATACTATTCAATAATTTTAAAAGTTTAATATTAAATTTTTTAGTCATTTTAACAATTATTGAACATAATTGAAGGTAAAGTGACTAGTTTAATGCGCGGCATCCAGCCTCTTAACACAGCAAACAGGTGCTAGTCTCTCTGTTTTCACTGGAGGTAACATCTTGCTTGAGACTCTTCAACTAAACGCTTTTTTTCTGTGTTTCCAGTCAAATTATTGGTCATTTTGAAATATATTTTACATATTGACAATATATAATGCAGTGCAGTGTTGATTTAAAGAAAATAATCTTGAATTACACCAAGAGAGCTAAAATTTTATGGGTGAAATGGCGCCATGGGGTGACTTCTCTTCCACCCCAATGCCTTCTTTTTTCCTTCTCCTCCACCCCCATTCTAAATCCCATCATCATCATCATCATCCAGGAGCCTTCTACATACACACCTCAAAGTAAGTGAACTTTTCTACCATTTTTGTTGAATTTAGGAAATTTTCGGTGAGCTGGAACCAATTACCCAAAAACCCATTGAAACAATGGTTTCGGTTAACGAACGACCTTCTGGAACGGATTGAGTTCGTTAACCGAGGGGTCACTGTATTGATAATATATGCAGTACAGGGAACTAGTATGTTGTGCGCCCATCAGATGTGTGAGTCGGTCACAAGGCATCAGTTGGGCTTTGAAAACAGTGGAGAGAGCACCTATTTTGTTGGTGTCTTGAATATTTTTGCATTTTTCATCGAAATTATTGGTCTTTCTGAACTTTAGTTAACATATTGATAATATATAGTGCAGTGTTGATTTAAATAAAATAATCTTGAATTACACATAGTGAACTTCAAATTTTATTGGAAAAATTACTGCATCAAGCATGTGTCCCCTGAAAGTTGATTTCTCCTCCATCCCCACTTCCTTATCTTCTCCCTTCTCCACCCCCACTTCTAATTCCCATCATCATCATCAACCAGGAACCTTCTACATACACACTTCAAAGTAAGTGTACTTTAATGCATTATTTTTTACGTTGTATGTACTTTTCGGTGAGCTGGAACCAATTACCCAATATCCCATTGAAACAATGGATTCGGTTAACGAACGAAAAAAAAAAAACTTCTGGAACGAGTTGTGTTCGTTAACCGAGGGACCACTGTACTGCATATTTATTCTCATGTGGAGTTGAATCTCTCTTGTCCACGTTTTATCATAATGTTGAAGATTTATACCATTGCTGCACCCATTTGACTATTTTTTCTTAATATTCAACAGTCGGTGAGACAGAAGTACAAGGCCAGTAAACACATGAAGATCAGTGACATTCCCCAGCTGAAGTCTAGGATTGTGACCAAGCTAGCGGAGAAGGGGTCTCTCCTGTAGAGAGATCTGATGCTAGTCATACTGAATCTGCTTTTGTACAGAAGAATAATGTGTGCTGGTATATGTTTGTACAAACTAGGTTAAGATGCCAGTCACAGTCTCTTCTCTTATTGTGATACTCGTATATTCTCTGTACTGTATATAGATATATATAAATATATGAATATATTTTTTTTATCCTCAGATTAAAATGTAAATTAGGATCTATGAGCATATTAGTGGAATCAAGGCTCTGAATCACCTTGGCTTGTGCGACTATTTTGTTGCACGTCTTCAGTTTTATTTCAATAACCGTACTGTATCTATTAATTTAGGAAATATTGGCTAATATGGTAATATTTCCTTTTTTAGTGCACTGGTTTATTTCAGTCATATATGAGCATGTTAGAAATAATAAGTACAGCATATGTTTCTCATAACCATTCAAGAAAATGGAAGATGAAAAATTTGTAAGCTTTGAATTTTGAACCATTTCCTGCACTGTACCATACTGTACTGTCATTGTATCCCAGTACACCAGTTACACGATTGTATAAAGGTCAAATATTACATTATTATGTGGAGTTATGAGAAATTACTAAAAATATAAATATCCTTCTTTCAATAAAATCTCTGCAGTCCAAAGTTAGTTTTTCACAAGGAATAAATTTCACAATTAGAAATGCCAACCAATGTTAATTTGCAGTATGGAAGATTAGTTCCAAATGCATCAGTAGAAAATAATCTTCACCTTTATCACTTGGTTATGATATATTTTTTCTTGGAAAATGACTATTTTAGATTGCTTTAGTCTCAAAGGTTTCTACTTATGATTTTAAACAGAATATCTTATGTTGCCAGGCTTACTGGATATACTGTACTGTATATATGATGTGGAAGAGGGTTTTACATGTTCTCTAAGTTGTGTTAAACATATTAATCAAGCTCAGCTGTTCCTTTTAAAGAGTTGAAACCTATGAGACAATTCTTTCTTACCATTATTTTATGGGACTGGTTTTTATATTGCTGTGTCTCTATACTGTTGAAACCTATTGTACCATACTGTACTATTCCTATATGAACAAAAGTAAAGCTGTTCCAATTATTTTTTTTTTTTTACAATATGCTGGGTACAACTGCCATGCTCAGGGTATTTGCTGTTTTTATTAGTTATTTGGTGGTAAATACCTGGTGCAAGGTGCCTGTGCTGTATATGTTTTATTGATGTACAGTGTTTGCACTTGTAAAATTTTTAAGTTTCATTTTGTATATTTTAAGTTTGTGGGGCTTATTTGAGTACATGTACAGTACTTAAATATGAAACCTGAGCCTTTCACTTTTATCACTACAGTAACTTGGTTTCCAATTGTTTGATTCTTTTTGCAAGACTATACATACTGTACTGTACTGTATAGGCTATAGGGCATAACCCAGTCTGAAGTAACTGTGAAATGACGAAGATCTTGTTTGATTAGCAATATGTGAAAAGTGCTGATGCCCTTTTTTAGGAAATATTCCATTAGTTGGTTGGTAATTCACATTATACAGTACAGTATAGTGAAAATTATAAATATAGGTAGATAGAGGTAAATATGATACTGTATTCCAAGAATCAATGTTAAATAAAATGAAAATTGTCCAGTGTATTTAATTAATCATTATTTACGAGGTACAGTAGTGATGTAGCCTGTCAACTACTGTATGCTGTACAGTTTTAAGTTTCGCTGTCCTTATAACTTAAATTTTTATTGCTTGTGTTTAGTAGCCGAGTTACCATTTTCAGTGAATCCTCCATATAACGGACACTTCTCTCAGTGTAATTTGATGTGTTTTTTGCATCAAATGGACCTCGATAGAATGGATTTCTCATCTGTATAGTTTGTTAGATTGGGGCTCGACATCTAACGGACCCTTGAGAGAATAGTCTTTCATCTCCATAGTTGGTAAATTTGAGGCTTAACATCTAAAATACCATGGATAGAATGGACTTTCACTTTCATATTTATATTCCGTTAAATAGAGGTTTCACTGTTGCCGATTGACTGACCAGCTGTGTTTCATATAATGTAAGAAGGGACAATGGTACAATATAGTACTGTACTTAATTATCATATCTTCACCACTCGGGATATTAACTAAAGAATGATATGTGTTGACTTAAGTATCTTTGACAAGTCTCCACGACCCTCTTAGTTAAAGGTTAGGTAAAGTACTGTAACTATTTTATACTGTTAATATAAATGGTCTTGTAGTTGATTATAACATTATTGACACTTAAGTTTTTGTTTAAGTTCAATTACTATATACTGCATATGTGATCCTGCTTGATATATTCTGTTCTTGTGTGGAAGTGCAGAAAAACATTTCATTCATTTTAGGTTCAGTATATAATTTGTGTTTTTTGGCCCCTAATAGCTGTACAGCAGCCTAATACAATAATCCACTACTTTGAACTTTAGCTCATTTAGAGTGTAAAGGTACATTATTGCTATACTGTCAACCTTCTCAGGCATTTAGGTTCGCTATGTCCCATATTTGAACAATTTATATGGGATGATTATTATTCCTAACATGAACGAACAGGGCACTGCTTTCAGATGCAGTTCTGATATTGTACTTATGTTGTTTGATTCTGAGCTGCAGTGTTTTTCCTGTCTGTCCTACATAATTACAATTACATTTGCTACATGGAATACAATAAACACTTCCATTTACATTCAAACTTGGGCTATTTCTTATTAACATATATTGGTAATGGTTGTGTCATACTTGAAAACAACATTAATATTTAGTAGCTTGAGGGACCGAACTAACGGGACAAATTCATTACGATAGGGCAGTCAAAATATTCTTAAGTGTAGGAATTTGCATGGTTTGAGAGGAATGAAAGGATTTTTTAGCCCTTTTAAAACAACGATCTACAAACACAGAAGGGTACCCAAGTTTTTGTGCAATGGAACGAATGTGTTTCAATTCATCATCAATAAATTCAGTCACAAATACGCAGACATCTTAAGAACATAACAGAAAAAACTGACATTTTGATAGACTCCAGGTGATTCGATAAAAAGTGTATGAAACTGTCTACCTCTGTGGGCTTTCTGTATACCTTAAATTTGTAGTTTTGGCTATTTCTCATGATAAGGATATCAAGGAATGGATCCCTTCCTACAATAACCTACACCACATTTTTTTCGGGGGGTGGGGGGGGGGGGCATATGAGAAAAACTACACCACGCTAGAGAAAGAAACTGGTCGCGATGCAGCAGCTCAAAGGATCGACGACCAGAAAAGTTCCTCTCGCATTACGTAAGCAGACTTTGACATGATCCCAGAGGCGCACTGTTTGCCGGGGTTGATTAAGGTAAGTCTTTTGAAGGAGTATTAACGCCATCGTCTGGACAGCGAAAATATCTCGCAGTATTTTTTATAATATTGTTTTGGATCCCCTGAAGAATCGTCACCCCAGAATGTCCACCTGAAGAATCATCTCCCCAGGATATCCCACCTGAAGAATTGTCACCCCAGCCTGCTCCACCTGAAGAATCGTCACCCCAGCCCACAGTGAATATAATTAGTATAATTAGGATAACACAAATATATTCCTTTGTGTTATGCATCTTTATTGTGAAAAGTTTAAAGAAACAAAAAATAAGAATAATATACAGTATACCTAACCTAACCTAACCATGGAGGGTCGTGACCCCACCTGAAGAATTTCAACCCCAGGTGTTGCCACCTGAAGGAGTTCATCACCCCAGGATATCCCACCTGAAGAATTGTCACCTTGCCAAACTCTGGGATGAAAATTCTTCAGGTGATCCCCCGTACCTGTATACCTGTACCTGTATACCAGTACCTGTATACCTGTACCTGTATACCAGTACCTGTATACCTGTACCTGTATACCAGTACCTGTATACCTGTACCTGTATACCTATATATGTATACCTGTACCTGTATACCTGTACACCTATATATGTATACCTGTACCTGTATACCTGTATATGTATACCTGTACCTGTTTGTATGATAACAGTTGGTGCTCTCTGTGTTAAGTGATTCTGTCAGTGAGAGTTATTGCTCAGCCGTGGAAACTGGAATGCAAATCTATCCACTGTACATTCATCTCTCTCTCTCTCTCAATTATCTATCTGTCTCTTTCTATCTCTACTTTCGTTATCTCTCTCTCTCTCTCTCTCTCGCCGCAGTATTGAACGTTCATATAATTACACTTGTCTTTGATGTATTTGTGCACTGCAGATAAAGGGAATAATTAAGGCAATATGTGTTGGCGTTTGTCTGAGTGAGTGAATTAGTTACCTGTGACGTATGTATGACTAAGGATCTGTGGTCGAAATGTTGATATTCTGTTAATTAATTGTCCTCATTCCCTCCCTCCCTCCTTTCCTCTCCCTCCCAACCCTTCCTCAAAGCCCAGCCTCTGAAAATAGACGTTAAAGCTGAGGACTATGATGAAGCCTAACCCCCACTTCCCTCTCCCCTCACCCTCCCTCTCTTCTCCCCACTCCCCCTCATCCCTTACCTCTCCTCCCCACTCCCACTCACCCCTTACTTCTCCCCACTCCCCCTCACCCCTTACTTCTCTCCTCTCTCCCTCACCCCTTACCTCTCCTCTAACCCTCACCACTTTCCTTTCCCTCTCTCCCCCTCAATCCTCCTTCCCTCACTCCCTCCCACTTCACCTCTCTCCTCCCCAATTATTTCACTGGTTAAAAACGTCAACTATCCCTTGCTGGCAAAAATAGGCTTAGATCAGCACTGACCCCAGGTTGAGGGAGGCAGAGAGAGAGAGAGAGAGATGTAATAGAATAACATTGCCACACATGTTTAACTGTCAGTCACCAAGATCATTAAGGATAACTACCCTGCACAGGAAAACACACGTGTACCAGGGAGAATTGATGACGTATACCTGTACCTAGGGAGAACTGGATGTCGCACATCAAAATTTTAGAGAATTTGATGTTTACACCTAGAGAATTTGATGATTTGGTACCTGCACCTTCATAGGGGAGAATTTGATGTCGCATACCCCAAATTTGTAGGTATCCTGAGCAAGCACCTGTACCTGTAGGGGAGAATTTGATGTCGTATACCTGTACCTGTAGGGGAGAATTTGATGTCGTATACCTGTACCTGTAGGGGAGAATTTGATGTCGTATACCTGTACCTGTAGGGGAGAATTTGATGTCGTATACCTGTACCTGTAGGGGAGAATTTGATGACGTATACCTGTACCTGTAGGGGAGAATTTGATGTCGTATACCTGTACCTGTAGGGGAGAATTTGATGTATACCTGTACCTGTAGGGGAGAATTTGATGGCGTATACCTGTACCTGTAGGGGAGAATTTGATGATGTATACCTGTACCTGTAGGGGAGAATTTGATGTATACCTGTACCTGTAGGGGAGAATTTGATGGCGTATACCTGTACCTGTACGGGAGAATGTAAAGTATTAATTAATTAAAATTAAATATGTTTTATAGTCAGAATTGTTTATTTTATCTCGAATTTATTCACTCTTGAAGGATGAAATTAACAGTAAGCGGATTTGACTGTATTAAACAAAGAAAAAAAGAAACTGATTCGACTACATGAACTAAAAAACTGTACGCCATCACATTGCATACAGGTTATTGTTACATTTAGTCTTTCCTATAATATTTAAACCAACGTCGTCAGGGAATTAAAACATCATACTGAAGGGGTTAAAACATCACACAGAAGGGGTTAAAACATCATACTAAAGGGGTTAAAACATCACACAGAAGGGGTTAAAACATCATACTGAAGGGGTTAAAACATCATACGAGAGGGGCTAAACTATCGTCGTCAGGGAGTTAAAACATCACACAAGGAGGCTAGATAGATTCATGGATGGTAGAGAGTGGTAGTAACTCTCGACATGAGATTCCATGCACAGGCCAACCGGCCTATTGCAGACTCCTTATGCTCTTGGCGGTGGGTTATGTGTATACCTTCGTCAGCCAGTGCCCTACCAGCTGAGTATTTCACCCCTGCTCTGTGTGTGTGAAGACGTGTATAGAGTGTATGAGTTACTCTACCCTTACACACAATATAAACGTCACAAAAACTGTCTCGTTACCAACACTGAATTCCTGAAATGAACCCTTAACATTATTACTAGTTAACCGTAATAAAAAAACACGCAATTAACATTAGTACAAGATGACGTCATGTAAAATCCGCTAATTAGAACGCAGGATGGCAGTGGCGTACTTCCCTTTTTATGCAGTTATTGTAATTCTTGACGCCGGTGATCTATAGCCATAACGCCGTCACCGTTTAATTAATTAGCATCGAATACACTTGTAAAGTTGTAATAATTACAGAAAAAGTGTGTCCTCAAAAAACAAGTCAAAATAAATGTGCGTATCAACAGTCATTAGTGTTGTGTGTGTGTGTGATCTCCGTATACGTATTTATTAAGATGATGATAAATGAAGGTGGAGGAGGTGGTGTGTGGACTGCCTCTCCTCCCTCCACCTATCTTGAGTTACGCGTTTATGATCATTTTCGTGTTTTATTTATTGATTTTTGTAAGATTGTACCATCGTACGATAAGTTTTCCCACGTTGATGTGGGGGGGAG